CTGATGACGCCCACCAGGAAGCTGACCGTTTTTATGCGCTTGTGAATAGTTGGTTTTTAGCTTAAGGAACTCGTTAACAGCATAGTGCACCAAATTACTGCGCTCGTACTATACGCTAGTTGGGTGTATAAATTAGACTTTGAGCGTACTACGCGTTAATCACACAGGTCTCCAAATTACAACCTTCCACGGCTAAAAGCACGATTTTCTGACTGATGATTTTCTGACGTGACGCTCAAAATTACAACGCTGATGTACTCTGAACGGATTTTATGTGGTTCAAAAATCATATCCACAATTTAAAATCTATATTAACTACGTATTACTCCAAATTCCCGTCAATCTAGCCCTAAAAATCAGCATAATTACGGCTTGCGCCAAATTACAGCCCTCGTATAGTGAGGGCGAGGGCGGGATGACCCTAATAGCAACAAGCCACGCGGTGAGGGATCTACCCTCTGAGGTATAGGAGATATGATCGGGTGATCTGTAATTGGGATGGGTGAACAGCTCGCGCGTCTTTCTCTCCTTGACTGTCCTCTCTATCTCTCGCCCTTTATTTCCACCCGCCCCACCCACTCACTGCTGCACCACCGCAATAGCCACGGGGCAAATGGCGCGGTGCGCGCAAAAGTTTGCACGTTTTTTAGACTTTTTGGAGAGTGCTTTATGTACCTTTAAGAATTACTTAACGCTTCGATATTCTTGTGATATGGTTTTTTCGATACAGCCGCAGAAGCTGTTTTTCGACATCTAGACCCCGGATTTCTCGAACTCAAGTAGTTCAAGTTTTGCTAGGTTTGGTTTTTGTTTTGTTTTGTTTCGTTATGTCTCTCTCTCTCTCTCTCTCTCTCTCTCTCTCTCTCTCTCTCTTTCTCACTCTCTCTCTTTTTCACACTCTCTCTGTCACTCGCTCGCCCTCTCTCTCTCACTCTCTCGCTCTCTCGCACGGCCTCCGACGCACTGCTTTAAAACTAATTGTTGGGTAACCTAAAAAATCTAGATCTGGCGATTTTCGCGAATGTTGAATGGGTTTTCGACGTTTTTCTAAAAGTTTTCCATCGAAAGACCTTTGCATTTATCATTACAGCAACATTATTTTTTAGCTTTTAAAAATTCAAGGATTCCCAAAATACCGCTTCTTCCTGGCGGCTAGAACCATGTCTTCTCAGTCCCTTTAATTCACTCCCAACTCCCCGCTCCGTCTCTCGTTTGAACGGTTGTTTTTGTGTTGGGATCTCATCCACCTCGACCCTATCCACCCCTATCATTTACCCCCTCTTCACAGGATGGGCGAGACAAACAGGGGTCGGCCCTCGTCCTCCTCTTCGCCACCTCCTCCTCCACCATGCCTCCGATTTTGACCCGGGTAGATGAGGATAGGGGCAATCAATTGGATGACCCAATTTGCACTCACTCCTCAGGAGGGGTCTCTACCGTCATGGGGTGGGAGAGGTGAAAGAGGGTTGTTTTGGAGGGGGCGAAGGAGAAGTTGGGCAGGGGTACGGTAATCATGAGGTGTTGATATGTAGCCAGGCGGATCGAAAAATTTGACAAGAAACTGGTATTAAAGGGATTGGCAAGGCATGACTGTGGATTTTCTGTAAATTACGCGATGATACGTAACGCGAGACGCTTGGGAGCTGTTTGCGTTGGGCTTAGGTTTAGGCTTGGGCTCAAGCTTAATGTTTGGCTTAAGGTAGCTATGCTTAGACTTAATATGTTTCGCTTAGCCCTGAGCTTAGGCTTGGGCTCGGGCTCGGGCTTAAGGTTCGGTCTAGGCCTGGCTAAGCCTAGCTTTAGGTTTAGCTTGGGTAATGGCTTAGGCGGGGTTTAGGCTTAGGCTTAGACTGGGGTTGGGCTCAGGCTTGGGCTTAGGCTTAGGCTTAGGCGTAGGCCTATGCTTGCTTATTATTTTTGTAAATTGTCAACCGGCCTCACGGATCGTCAACTGTATCCATGCTTAGTTGGTCCCTCGGGTCCGTTCCTCTCCCCGGCCGCTGCGCGCCCCCAAAATTTTCGGCGAGTTGCGCTGGCTGAGGATGGGGGGGAGTGTTGAGGCGGGAAATGATGGATTACGGGGTGAAAGGGCAACCGGGGGATGCACTCCGGAAAGAAATGCTGGACACGAATTGGCCAACGGAGTACCGTAACCTCATGCTCGGGAGTTGGGGGTGGGAGAGGTAGCGAGTTCCAGGTGACGAATTGCACTGACTGACCGTAATGAATAGAGGTGTACCATGGCATGGACACATCCTCTTGCTCCGCTATTCTCGGCCCGATTCAATTTTTTTTGGGCTCACGCATCCTGTTAATGTTGCCAATTGAGGATACAAAAAATGTTTTAGCCTAATCTAAACAGAAAATTTGCTAGGAGCAGAGTGGTGCACGACTTTGCTGTACCCGACATCTTCAAGCAGCTCGGCTTTTGTGCTTATCCTTCAAAACGACAACGAAATTGTGTCCTAATTTGGCGTCTTGGGCTCAATGGGCTCGTGACACGCGACGCACGCACTGTCTGCACGCGAACGTGGGTTTTGCGTGGCGGCCGTCCCGGAAAGTCCACTACGACCCCGGCCTTGCCGGTCCCTTTAGACCCTCTCCCCGTCGCCCTTAATCCGGCGCAACAACACCGATTTCTATTGCCGTATATCCCCTCTTGAGGTGATGCTACCGTCGCTGGTGACCTCGGGCCGCCGGGGTGATGTATGGGGAGGCGAAGCCCGAGCGCGGCCCCGGCAAAAATGCGAAAATTTGCGGAAAATCGGGGGGAGGAGGAGGTCCCGCCATTCACTGATAGCCCTATCACTCGACCTGGTCGAGGTGCGGAGAGGGATTTGGAAGGTCGGAGGGGCGCTCCGGAAAAAACAGCTCATGGGGAGGGCGAGGGGGTGGGTCATCCATAGCGGGAGAATGGGCTGGTTACGGTTTCAGATTTTCCGAGGGTTGTATTACGGTAGAACCTAGATTTTTGAACGTCTTGCGGTTCTCCGTTTGGATTATCTATTTTCTTAGCTTGTGGCCTGGAATATATGCTATGAAGTTACGTTCTAGTGACTTATAACTTATTCTTCGTTTTCTCATCCACATCCCAGCCGCGTTGTGCTTATGAGCATTTTCGCAACGTCTCAAGTTTTTTCTCTTGCTCGCTCGCTCGCTCTCTCTCTCTCTCTCTCTCTCTCTCTCTCTCTCTCTCTCTTTCTCTCTCTCTCTCTTTCTCTCTCTTTGTCACTCTATATCTCCCTCTATCTCTCGCTGTCTCAGACCTTCTCTCGCACTCTAATCTGTCTATCTTTGCATTTCTCAACCTCTATGGCTCTTTATATCACTCTAGCATCCTCAGACATCTTCTAAGTGTTGCCAATAGCATTTTTGGTTTTGTACCTAGCCCGGGAATTCGCACACCACCCCCCTGAGTTAGACCGGTCTCAAATTTCCCTCAAATTGGCCATCCGTCTCGACATGGTCGCGCCGTTTTGCACCTTTTGCCCCGTGCTAGCTAGTCTCGGCTGGCAATTAGCGATATCCCTCGGGATTTCGTTGGGGCGACCGGCCGATCGTGGGCCGGATTTGGATCCGATTTTCTAGCAGGTCAATGATGAGTGCGGAGGGGTGCGAAAGTGAGAAATGCTAAAAGCGTTACGGTAGTAATCATAGCGATGGCTTAGTTCTTTTTTGCCGCTCATCGGCCAGAAAAATTCGGCTTATTTTTGGCCTCGACCTCACCGCGATGTTGCAGCAAATCAAAAAAAACCCTGGCCGGCCTAAACATATTTTTGTGGGAAGCTGCGGGCAGTCTAGCCTGTGCAAACCCTCCTTTATGCCGCAACGCTGTTGGAGCTCATTCACGCCAAAAATCATGTTTATTGGAGGTCGGGTCGGGTGAACGGGGGGTCGGAAACAGACTCGAAACTTATTGTTGTTTTTCCAGGGAGGGGCAGATGACCTCAATAAAGCTTTAGCTCTGGTTGGCTGGCTGACCATGTGGGTCTCCCTGGGATTTTTGAAATATGTGAATACTTGAATGAGGCACCGGAAAGGTCGTGTCGAACTTTGAGCGAGGGAGAGCGAGAGAGAGAGAGAGAGAGAGCGAGAGAGATAGAGTGAGAAGAAATCTCTTCGAAGCTGAATTTATTTAGGATCGAGGAGCATTGAGGTCACTCCGTGGCGACAGCGTATCGATTTCTGATACATTGAGGTCGGCACTCGGTTTTCGAGGGACTTCCGGTCAGACTTTTCCGGATCGGAACTCTGAAATATCTGGATTTTTTTGGCTGTTACTTGGGTTCGTGCGCAGCCTTAAGTGTATGCCTAGACTTATACGTTGGCCCAGGTTTAGCCTGGCGAGCTCTTCGCACTTCCCAAATCCGTCACACGCCCCTCAACACCTCGATCTCCCCCCTATCCTCCCAACTACCAATGGGCATCGGCCCTCAGCGAGTGTCCGGCTTGAGTACCGAGGCTCCACCCCCTTTCGCCCCTTATTTCGTTCTCGAGACATACCGGCGGGGAGAAGGAGGGTTGGAGGCGAAGGAGGGGCCTCTCCAATACCATGACACATCCCTCGCCACACCCCCTAACACCCTCCCCACCAAACATGGCCAAGGCGAGGGGTTCATTTTTAGGGAGGATTCTAGGAAATCGTATTTTCTTGGAAATGATATTCTTGCATCAAGCTTTATAGCGGTTCTTTTCGCCTCGAACTCAGAGATTGTTTGCATAAATTTGTCGAGCGTTAATTTTTGTTTTCCGGTTTTATCCTTCTTACGTCTATGAAGTTCTTATTCCCATAACTTTATCTGTATAAATAGGTTTCTTTATCTCTTCTCTCTCGCTGCCTCGCTCTTTGACCCTCTCTCTCTCTATCTTTCACTCGCTCTCGCTCTATGGCTCTCTCCGTCTCTCCTTCTCAGTACCTTTCTTTGACGAAAATTTAACTTTTTGTTTTCCACTGTAATTAATTTAATTAAAGCGCTTCATTATCGATTTTTCTTTAGATAATGAACGACATTGTCCTCAACCCGTTGCTCACTTTCCTCAAAAACTATCGCGATCATCCGATGATCAATCGCCTGATCGAGGGCAATTTTACAAAAGCCCAAATCGAAGAAGCAACCCGGATTGTTGAGGTATAGATTACATTTTGAGAGCCACGTTTCGAAGCTTTTTTAAATGTTATTTTATTTTATGCCGATTTTCCAGAGGAGCCTCGGCCTTGCCAACGTCTCAATCAAGCTTGCCGACCTGTTCAAGCTGGCCGACGATCGGGCCGTGCTGCCCCGTTTTGCTGTCTCCGATTTCAAGGGGTTGCCGATGATTTTGAGCGAATGGTAGGCAAATTAAGTTGAGGACGTGCTAGCCCAGTTGCATTAAGACATTATAGTTAATTAAATGATGTTTTTCAGCCGCTTAAGCCAAGCCGAAGAGCAAGAAGAAGCGAGCAGCTACCAGCCGGAGCCGATGAAGTAAGTCTTTCTAGCTTGTAGTCTGCGCAATTTTGAGATTGTCGACAAGTTCGGCAAGTTCAGCGTCTTAGATGCATTCTTAAACCCAAAATATACATCATTTCCAGTCTCTCCACCTCCATGACGCTCGAAATGTCCTCCGCCTCCAGTCCCGAAATCCCGACGTCAGCGACGTGTTCGTCGGCCGGCAGTGACTCGGTCAGTCCGCCCGTACGCAAATAGTATCACGGCGTAGTTGGTGTCCCAAAAAGTGGCCACCCGCCTCGCGATCCGGGAATAACACCCAAATATTGGATTGTTGCGGCTTTTTGGGGGAGGGTTGTCTGTGCCGTTGTTCGAACGCAAATATGAACTCTGTCAATGCGGGGCAAACAAGTTTGTGCCCTAGCAAGGGGGTTTATAAGCTGAAAAAAGGTGGGGTCAGGCTGCGGAGTGGGGAGTTACGGTACCTGGAGTGTTTCGTACTTTTTCTAGAGAATGAAATTTCGCTTTGAAATCGTTATCGCAACCGATTTTAGGCGTTTTTAGGGTATTTTAAGCCTAGTTACGCTCTCTGCGGCTTGAAACTTTTCGATGCACAGATAAATTTTGTCCATAATTCCTTATATAGTTGACTACGGCAAATTTAAATAATTTTAAGCACCGTGATGACCCTTGCTTCGAAAATTTAGAAACTGAAATTTTCCTTAAAATCTTACCTGAACCTATTCCTAGCATTTCTTTCAATGTCTATCGATGTATTTCGCTATTTCCTAAATTATGTATGTTTTTCAGGCTTCATCCTCATCCAAACAGTCCCCGATCCCTGGCTGCGAGATGATGTCCGTTATCGAAAACCCTGCTCGTGCTCCAAAGCGAAAAGCCGTCGGCAAAAGCCTCGAAAATGCGCTCAAGAAGCTGAGCGACAAGCGCGTGAAGCCGGTACGTTTTCTTAGCGTTAGTTTTACATGAGTTTGACAAAAAAATTGCAATTTTCAAGCTCAGCTTCGCCTTGAAATTTTTTTTCTAACATTATTTCTTTCAGGACGAGCCTAAACCCATCCTTTCTGTGCCGCCACCAACCCTCCTGACGGCACTTCAGAATACCCAAATTCCAATGTTGCCCCACAACCTGTTTCCCGATCTGAATCGAGCAATGATTGGTAAGAGAAACCTAGAAGGCATCATCTTGATGTAGGCGGAATTTTCGATCGAAACCGATACCTGCAAGCCGCCGCCATGCTCAACTACATCCAGCAGCAACAGCGGAACGTTCAGCAGGCGATGGCCCAGCGTCAGCAACAGGTTCAGCAGGTTCAGCTACAGCAGCAGCAACAGCAACAGGAGCTGATCAAGGAGCAGCAGCCGGAGATGATTACGTGAGTCAATCGCAACACGAGGGGCGTAATTTGCATTGACGTGCAGCCTCGGTATCGGCTTAGGCATAGGCTTAAGCCGAGCTTCACCGGCAGCTACAGTACCCCTCCTGCTCTCCGGCATCTCATAGAAACCCTGAAATCTCATCCAATCTAGCCCAAAGTGCCCCAAAATTCCTCGCCGGGATTGTCGACGGAAACCGGGAGCTCCCCCTCATTTACCCGCTTTTTCTGGGCCCCATTATTCCCGCCGGTATTCCCTCCTCCTCCCGCTGTTCATTACCCCCGTTTTATGAGGTGGAAATTGATGATCAGTCTGAAACTAGGAGCGGGGGAGGAATTTTGGGAATGGGCCGGAGGATGGGTTTGGATTTTCGGAAGTAGCAAAAGGGAATGGAATTTGAATGGGGTGTACTGTAGCTTTGCCCCGCTTTTTAGCACCAATAAAAACAGAGACTATTATCAATAGAGACAATCAATTAAATTTGTATACAATCTAAATAGATTAAATTCTTAATTTACATTAATGAAGAGGGCTGAATGACTTCAATTTTCGAAGAAAATTTTCCTTTAAATAAATACAGAATTAAAAGGATATCTTTGCTCAGGGTGATCAAAATTATGGTTATATTTTAGAAAAGAAGAACTCGACGAAAAAACTGACGATGATCTAGAAAAGGAGAGCGACAGCCCCTCCCCGTCCGAAGAGATGAAAGACGAGCAGGACGCTGAGAATCTGGCAGGTAGCCAATTGGCCATTTCCTATTTATTTAATTGCGAATTGTTTTACCGCACTCTTCTATCCTTTAATTTTAGACAAACCCTACGTGTGTGGTCAATCGAACTGCGCGAAACGTTTTGCCAACAAGTTCCTGCTCAAAAAGCACATGTTCATCCATACCGGACTTCGCCCACACGCTTGCCCGTACTGTACGAAACGGTAGGTCTTTTTTGGAAGTGTAATTCCGTTAATAATATACAAAAAGACCAAAACCACACGTAGATGTTGATGTGTGGAATTATTTCTTAATCCTGCGCTCTTTACCATGGATCTGGGAGTCATAAGTGGAGGGGAGGGCCCGTGACCTCGAACATTGGATACGGTAGCCGGGAGGGATACATGGGAGGATTTTTCACGGATTATGACGTAGTTAATAATGTTATAACACCTATTATATTACAGTACTTTTTAGAAGTAGGTCATTACGAAGCCTGACGTAGCGGACCCCTTAATCTGGCTAGACAGCCAATCACGTATTCTTATCTGAAGTAGCTCAAATTAGTGCTAATTCAGCACAGCGTACAGCCTCCAATTTCATAGCATACTCATACGTACGTACCTATCGATTTTTTTGCCAATTTTTCCCATTGGCAACATTACGAGACGTAAATGCGTCATTAGCGCCCTGTAACTTGGCAACGCCAGCAATCCCCTTCTCCTGATTCTCGAGGCGTTTTGGGCCATTTGCCACAAAACCCGAGCGATTCCCGGAGACGATAAGCGCCAATTTCCCATCCCAGCTTGATCTGATTGACACCCCCGAACGGGCAAACATCTCAATTCACGCACGATTGGAACGGCTGGAACACTAAAACTGTCACCACCGAATCGAGATCCCGGGGCGAGATATCCCGAAAATACGACCCTGACGCGCCTAATCTAGCCAAAATTTGTGGGTGGTATTGGCTAGATACCCATTTCTCGCCACCCCAGTTGATGACAGTTCTTCTAGGGCTGGTGGTGGGCAGATTTTGGGGGTAGATAAGCAAAGGTGGAGGAGGGGGGGAGGGAAGATTTCGCGGATCCAACTCGGGGCAGCCGGGGATCGAACCCCAGATAACGGGCAATTCGGGGGGTGTCAATTAATTCTACCGTAATTGGGCATTTGGCGGGATGTTTGATTTTCTAGGAGGAAATCGAAAAACTAAAAATCAGTTCAAAAATAGAAAATAGAAAAAAGTTAAAGAAAGCTATAATTTTCGAAAGTAATCATTTTTGGCGTCTTAAATTTGAAAATTCTTAAGCAAGTCAGGTTTTGTAAAATTTTTTGCGTTATATTCAAAGCTAAATCATGCCTTAATTTAGGCCTCTGTATTTCTGTATTCGCTATCCTGATTTAACCATATTAAAATGTCAGTTTTGTAGGCATCTGCCATAGTGTTAATTATACGATTTATATGCTTTCTAAATTAACCTAAATTTTTCAAAACAATCTCTTAGTTTCTTACCCTTAATTCCGTATTTTCGGAGATCCCATTATTATGGTCATTTTGGGGTACTGTGGCCCGTTACTGTAGCGATTTCGCAACTATTTCCGCCCATTCTAAATCACGTCCACTCCGCTCTGGATGTGCCTATTCCTGAAAAAGCACTCCCCGGATTTGAATGACCTCAAAACCCCGGGGTTGACAATTTGATGCATGAGGTGGCGAGGGTGCAACACTCCCCCGGTTCGAGTAGGGCGCGAAAAAAGTGGGGTGGTAGTCCGAGCTCGTCCCCCAGTAATTAATTTCAATCTGTCAATTGGTGTCTCGGGGGACGGACACCCGGATTGACACCAATTCCAGTTTTGGGCTCGCTAGAATAGCAAGTGCAAGGAGGGGGCTTGGGATTGGACTAGTGAGGTAAAAAAGGGCAGGCCGAAATGGATTAGAGGTTTCTGGGAAATTGGAGGTGTGGATGGGTGTAAGGAGCAGCTTTTCGGAGTGCGTGAATTGCAAGAGATTTCTCAAATTTTGCATAGCGCTACGGTACTTGGTAGTAGGCACGACTCGCCAATGTTGACGCTTTATGCGTGGCATTCGCTACACTGGCAACTTTTATACGCTACGATACTTCCGTAAATCGCCCAAAAACCTTGCGCTTATTCCGTACGATTCGTACTTACGCATACGTACGTCTTCTATGTTACTTTTTGGGTCTTTTAAGTGCGATAAGCTCCTTTGTATGCATCATAAGTACGTTTCGCTAGGTTCGTACGCTCTATTTTGACCTTTAATGATCGTTTCCGGGTCCGCCTCTTCCCCCAAAACAACGCTCTACTTGGCAAACATATTGACCAATTACGTCCTATCTCTCTCGCTCTCTCTCTCTCTCTCTCTCTCTCTCTCTCTCTCTTTCTCCCTCTCTCTTTTTCTCTCTCTCCTTGATAATCTTCGAAATGCGCAATGAACGCGCTAAGAAGTGGTGGTGGGGGGTGAAATGTTGTTTACGATCGGCTTGACGGGGGCCATTTTTTAGCGGGGTTCAACGGCTCGACTCGACTGTGGATAGTATCCGGGGGCAGGAGAGGGAAGAGGAGAATGAGTGTGAGGAGGAGGGGGAGCCATAAATCAGCACTCGGGCCATCCACCCGAGAAGAGTCGAATTCCTCGTCCACCTCCTCGTTCCGTTGAGTCGTATCCCAATCGCGGGGTAGAGGACGGGTCGCCGGAGCGCGTCCTCAACCCCAATTAGGGGATAAAGTATCAGTCGCTGGGGGAGGAGGAGTTGGGGGATGAGGTGGAGGACGGGTTACGGTTGGGCTGTAGTGAGATTTTGAGAATGTGCCGTGGAAAGCGAGGTTAAGGGACCGGGAGGAACCTCAAAAAAAATCCGCAAAGCGTCTACTGACGCATTAATGACAAAATTCCTATATTAAAGGGATGGCAGGTATGGGTTTCTTAAAATTACCTCGAAGTTACATCAAATTCTGGCAGAATATCGTGTTTTAAATTTTTTCAGAACAAAATTTCGTGATTTTTTCTATAGCTTTCAAAAAAGGCCTAAACGCTTTGATGATATCTAAATAAATCTTAAACTATGCTAATTAGCTAAATTTCAGCTTCAACCGCAAAGACAACCTCCTCCGCCACAAGAAAACCCACATCCAGCACGGCGTCCCCCCTCTCGCCGTCTTCCCACCGCCGTTTTCGCTTCTGGTGCATGGCGGAGATGCTTCAGATGATGTCAGCGATTAAATTAGCATATTCTCTTGTTCGTATCTCGCTTTTTCCCCTCGTTTCTATGACCAAATGGCTCCTTAAAAATTTTCGCTTACTTTGAACGCTGCTTTGACGTCCGCTTTGATGTCTGAATTTTTTGATCGCTAAAAATGTGCATTTTGACCCGATTTTTGCAATTACCCTTGCTCGCCCGTGACACATTCCCTTACCGGTCTCTACACAAGCACACATCCCATTGCAACACACAACCCGTTTTTTTGCTTTGACCACACTTCCCGTACAAAGCGTGATCTTTTTCGACAGTTTGTGGCCTTTTTTGTACATTGTGATCTTCTTGGAGTGTGAAGCTTAAAGTTGGATAAATTTTTCGAACTAATACCGACCCGAAAACCACTGCATCCGGCATAATTTATTTGTTTTGAAATAGCCTATCGAATAGTTGGTGATTTATTTAACTTAAAAAATGCCTTTCGAGCACGTTTTCAAAAAAGATTCCGGCAGATAGTTTTCGCAACAATTTGGCCAAGTACATTCTATGAAATACGATTTAGAGCGACCTTCCAAAGTTGTAAATTTAGCGTCATAGGAAGTTGTCATTTCAAATGTCCCTAAAAGTCCAATTTCTCCTAATTACGCCTAAAACTATGCGGATTTAGAGATAGCAACTACCGCCTTTCCGGCAACTCGGGGTAAAAAATGCGGGCCCGTCAACTATGGTGGTTGCATAATTTGGAGCGACTGGCCTAGGGAAGGGCTAATTTCCGGTGACACCCGCCAAAGGGCATGGGAGGTGGATACACCTTTACAAGGGCACAACACTTCGGACGTTCTTTCGGATTTTAAGATCGATGGCTTCGATTTTGGGGTTGCGGTTTCCGGGAAAACCTCGGGAATCGTTAAAACCTGGACCCTGGGGTTTAGAAAAGGTACAAATTAGCCTGAAAGACTAAAATGACGTTTCATTAAAGGGGCTCCGAAATCTGGTCCACGGCCCCCTGCTGTGATTCCTGGCAAATAGCCAGATGCGGTCAACGCGACCGCGCCGTCTTTGGCACCTGTTTGGACGCGAAAACGCTGAATTTGAAAATTCTGTCTTTTTGGAATCCTCAACGTATTTTGATCATTCCAGACTTTTAATTTTAGAAAATTGACCAGAGAATCAACGAAATCGTGAGATTGGGTTCCTTACAAGGCATTACGACATGTAATCGCCGCGCACTCAAAATGTCGTTTTGCCCCAACAAGAATTCGGTTTCCTCAAACATTTTCGTTTTTCGCAATCAATCCGCTTTTGGCAGTTCTCGGCGGTGACCCTTTTTTTGTTCGTAGGTTCAATCCCCGCACGCACGAAATTTGACTTCTGGGCCCTTTAGGAGGCTAACAGTTGTCTGGTCCACGCCCGCTGTGTTGTTTTTGCCATACAGCCAGAGACGGCCGCAACCCGAAAGCGTCGCACTTCCTCAGGCCCCTTTTTCCAGTTGAAAACGCGTGAATTTTTGAGTCCTGATATCATTTTTGGAATCCTGAGCGAATCTAAAGCCTTATAGCCGTTTTAATTGTTATATTGTCGATGGAATCCCAAAAAAAAAAGATGTTTAAAGCTCCACGTCGACCATTACGACGTGCAACCGCGCTGTAAAAAAGTCGCATCTAGATGGCTCACCCAAATTCTCAAATCCACTTGGCTGCTCAGAACATCCCGTCGCTACTTGCGATTCGAGCGATTCGATTCGAGTCTCGTCTCTGGTAACCAGTAACGAGAACCGATCGAGTACCCGAGGAATGAGGTGGTGGTTGTGGTCAGGATACGGAGTTGATAGTCAGTAATGTGGACCGAGGAGGAGGAAGAGGAGGAAGAGGAAGAGGAGGACGATACCGAGGATGGGACGATTTCAAGGAAAACGAGGCCTCCTCCGCCTCGAGACTGATAACAGCCAAAGAGAGCCCAACCCGGATCGACCTCGGATCGAGTCTCTCCTCCTCGTCCTCCTCCTCGACCCGACCCCGAGACCTCACAACTCGCAACTCCTCGTCCCGTCGAAGGGAGGAACAAGTACTTGGGGGTGGATAGAAAAGGGACTATCATAAAATCAAATATTTTCTGACGTTCTGTTGCCTCAGGAGGAAAAGCGGTGACTTCACTGGTCCTTGGAAAGGATTCGGATGCGCTCGAATCGCCAGTTCGCCGGATGCAAGTCACGGCAACTGCGCGAGGTGACTCACGGCGCAAAAATAAATAAACGAAAAAAAATGTCAAGCAAAATCGTTAAAATTTGTAAAATCACGGGGTTGTAGCTGTCGGGGCCCGTTTGACTAAAAGAATCAATTTTGGGCACCATTCCAGTCTTTTGAAAAAAATCCTGGGAGGAGAATTCAATTTCTGATGCTCTCAGCAGCAATCTATAAGCTTCGGTGCTTTTCCAACACCGTTAAAAAGCGTATCCTTAGTAGTTAAGGTCGCTGATACCGACGGCGACGTTTCATATATTTGACGGCTTTCCTATACCTTCAAAAAATGGCTCGACAGACAAGTAAATTTCCTATTAAGGGACCAGGTATAGCGCAGGTATAACGGTATTTTGTTACTCATGCGCAATCGTTCCTACGAAGCGCAAAAACAGCAAATGGCCTTTTTCGGTAAAAATTATGCAAAACAGCGCGTAAATGACAAAATTACGCACATTTTTGATGCAAAATGCAGAAGTCGCCATATTAAATCAAAAATTAAAAAGTATTTTCGTTATAACTTTAAAATCCGCTGACTGATGGGGCTGAAACCTTCTGTGTTCATGGGAAATTGGCTCCTTTACCTCTGTGCAAAATTTCAAGTTAATCGGACCCGATATAGAGAAATGCGGCCGGTGTCTTTTTTTTTTTGGGACACCCTGTAGTTACACCATCAAAAGAAGATTTTATGAGCCATAAGCGTTATACATAAAGCTGTCAACCTTTCCTATACCTTTAAAAGACTTTTTCCAATATATGCCGGCTGGAAATTTTCGATATCCAGCCACCACCAGTGGCACCGGCGTCGAGTGGCGGTGTGGTTTGGAGCGTGGCGTCGCGCTAGATATTGACAATGTTCAAGCTGGGCCAATCCATTCAGCCGGGGGTGCCCGGGGGTGGCCATAAAGGGATATTGGATCGGTTGTGAGGTGAGCGGAGGGGTAGACTGTGTGTACAGGTGCCCATCTATCGGCAATAGGGCCCACCCACCCTCCCGATACGGTTGCCACATCGACACGGCTTCCGCTGCTTCTCATTTATTTCCGTTTCCAACATCATTCACTGAGATTCCTTTTCTCAGCCTACTAACTACTAAAATATCACTATGATGGATTACGGTAAGGTTGAACGTCCAAGCATTTGTGGAAGTAGAAGTACTTCCAAACCATGCCTAGTATCGTATTGTACCGTAGCTGTGGTAAAACGTATTTTTTTATGGTACTCGCCCCTGCTCTGTTCAGCAAATTTGTTGCATCAAATGGGAATCTTTGCGTCGTTCTGAATATTCAAATGGGTCACGTTTCTCGCCCACCAGCGAGTTTCCCACCAATTTTGCGTCGATCCCAAAACGTGCTAAAAAATTTGCAAAACGCTCAGCTTAAAGAATTTGACAGGCTTTTTCGCGCGAAAAGGGCAAGAGTTTATCATAGTTGCGCTATTTTAGTTTCCATTTAGCGCTTAAATATTTCAAAATTTCAAAAAGATTCGGGATCAGCGCAAAATTCTGCACAAGACAGGCTGGGTCCCGTATGGAAATTCGATGTAACTTGAAAAAGGCCGGGAGACAAATAAAAACATTTAAAATCAACGAGTGATCTGCTTGAAGTCGTGCAACTAGCGAATTTACGACCACAGAGTTGTAGCGCGTGGTGTATATCTTTGGTCGCATTGTTGGTGCGGTGCAGGACACTCGACTTCAGGCTATCGATAGCCATCTATCTCCCCCCCCCTCGGGGGCCAACACCCACAACGGCCACTATTCGAGTGCTTTCCGTCATTCCACACCGCCCGTTCCACACAAATGGACGAGACGAGCTACGATCGCTACCGACTTCGTTCGTTATTTTTCGTTTGTGAAAGATTCAAAATCGCGTTTTATTTGTATTTGACTGAGGTATTTATGGCGTTTTGCGTGAGATTCAGGTCCTAATTTATTAAAAGCCTTGTCGTAATTATAGAAGCAACCCTGCTTTTCAGTTTTCTCGTCGCATAGCAGAAATTCGATAACGATATTTCTCAGCTGAATTTTTTTTGTGAACATCTAAAAATTTGAACCCGATCTCAGGATCTCACGATTTCATAGTCGCTGGCTCCCGTAATAAGTAGTAGTGCCGCAGGTAGATCCATCGTGCTACCTGAGCCCTGCTCCTTAACATGGTGGCCAGGTACTGCAAGAAAAATCTCTGGCGTGCTCACCGCCCTTAACGTACCTTTCATAAACAAATCTGTCATCATATTCTGCCGCTGACTATTTGAACTCCTAATAAAAAATTACGCATCTGACAAACTACAAAAAGTAAAATAAAGCCTCATCGTTAAAGTTTGTTATCAGATACATTCAACAACGATTCTGTGCGAGTAATCATCGGCAAAACCGTGGCCGGGCCCTGGGGCCCGGCTTATTTACCCCCGGGCAGTGGAGAGGACCAGGCTGTGCGCGATTCGGGGGCAGAGACGGAGCATCGCCCAAGGTCTAAACAACCGCGCCTAAACGGTTACGAAAGTTGATTCCGGGCGTACTGGGAGGATATGTGGTATCTCTGATCACTCTAACTGGCAATAATTTTTAAGGTAAGCTTCAAACGCTAAAATTTTTTTAAAGATTGCTTTTATTTCAGATAATATGAACTAACTACTGATAGTAAGAGGCAATTGTTTTCGCTGACTTGTAGAACTTGTTTGAATTATTCTAAGGCTCTTTTTGCTCGAAATCACTGAGATTTCAGCGACGATTTGTGTTGAATAGTTTAACGCTAGAATATACTCTGCTTCTGGTTCTAGGGAACCCAAAAAATACCTATCAAGCAGCTTTTCCGCAGTGTTTTTATGTCCAGCACCTGACCCCCCGGATCAGCCGACCTTGGCGGTCTGATTAATCGGCTATTTGGGTAGATGGCTCCAACGGTTCCGTTTTTTCCGCTGTTTGAAATGCTGCAGATTTTGAAGTTTTATTTGCCAATTTTTAACAGAATTTGCACGTTTTTTCGCAAAACGCCTTCTTCTGCTCGTCCGTGTAGCTGGGACTCTTGCAGAAACCGTTTGCATTCCAGTTGGCGCAACTAAACAGGCAGATTTGTTAGTACAAAAATGTGTGGCGATTGAATTTGTAAAATGCTACTTTTGAGAGGCATCCTGGCATTTCGGGCGATCGCACAGCCCGCAGCTCAACTGGCAATATTTTTTCTTGTCCCGATCACTGTAGTTTGGGTTCGTGCAGAAGCCGTTTTTCAGCCAATCGGGGCAACTAAAGAAATTTCTGGCTGTGGAAGGTGTCGATTTTTTTATGGACCTTGTAAGCCAAAACAAGCTCAATAAACAAGTCATTTTTTGGACCCACTCCTTGGTAGCATCGGTACAATCGCAGAGTCCGCAAGTTTTGGCGCAATACTGCTTCTTTTGCGGCCAAGTGTATTGGTGGCCGTCACAAAAATCGTTTTTCTCCCATGCAGCGCATCTAAAGACCGTAGAAAAAGTACAACACGTTGAACAAAAACCTAAAAACTCACTGTGCGCTGTTGTCTTTGCAGTTCTTCTGAAAAACACGCGGATTTAGCTGGATGTAAATATCTTTCACCTGATCGCATTGCGATTTGCATCCCCGGCAACTATCATCACAGTCCGGACAATAGCAAAAATTTATATCCCCGTTTGGTGGGCTACAATAGCCCGTCGGGCACATCCCATTTACAGATACTAAAGGACGGATCAGTTTTTGAAATTTTCCTAAAATTCAGGCTCGAAAAAACATACGAAAGGCCTGACAGTAGGTGGGCATCGCTGAAAACTAAAACATGCAACCTTTCGCGAGTTTTCCTTACGAGACTTGCAATCGTAGGCTCCCAAGGCTCCCAGAAAAAGAGAAGCAAGGATTAAGGCGGTTCCGGAATTCGACAGCATTTCGGGATTTACAGACAGGTGCCCTTTCGACGAATTGCGTTTGGTCGTGATGCCTCTTTCCCGCTTATCGTTTCGCTCCCCGACTAATAAAGATAAAAACTCCTGGTTTTCCGAAAGCGACCAAAAAGCGGCCTGGGGGACGGGCGGTGCCACGGTGTACTCTTTGTGTTCCGATTTAGAAAAAGAAAAAGAGCAAAATGCAGCTGGAAAATTGGAACTGTGTGAACAGGGCTTGCAAATTACGTAGTTTGTTAAGTTAAAGTTGCAAGTCACAACAACTAGCTTGTTTTCCAAAGCAAAAGCCTTTCTTCAAATTGTTCTTATCCGATTGCGAAAACCCGGGGCCGAAAATGGTCCCGGTAAAAATTTAAGACGACTGTCTGGCTGTTTTGCTTCGGAAATTCGAGCCGGCTGGAAGGGGAAACTTGCGTTTTTGGGTCCGCAGGACCGAGCATGTGCAGAAGTGCAGAATGTTGTGCTGATACCGAATATGCCTTCAAAATCATTTTTAAGTATTAATAGCTTATTTTAGACTGAGAAACCTAAAATTCGCTTTATTTAAGCTCCCGCAAAAATTCGAAGGAAAATATTACGTTGAAGGTAATTGGCCCGTCTGGTGTATCAAAAAAATTCGCGCTTTCGAATTAGCTAGTACATGCAAATTTTCAAATTTTATAAAATCGGATCGACGATTTTTGGATGGCGTGATCTGATAGCAGATCGTGTTAAAAGGGCTTTTCGGGATCGTTCCAAAATTGTGCCTGTGGTAACTTATTGTTAGTGAAGAGAAGTAATATTATTTTCAGTGAAAAGTACGTCATACCTGATCCATCCCCGCAGAGGTCACCCAATCCCTGCCCCCTAGCCCATTGTAAACGTGTGTTTTTGCGCGTGTCTGCGGAAGTACGCACGGCCCCCCTGGACGATTGGGTGTTCGCGGCGGTTGTCAGCTGTCCACCCGTGATGTCCGAACCCCCCGGCACCACACTCACACACCCTACGGCTTCACCCATACACCCCAAGCCTGCTGAACATCTTTATGGCCTGGGCGCGCGTAATATCTTGCGGGATTTGTATCGATTCGTGGAGGCTTGGCTCAAAAGCCCGATCACTATTTGAGGTTTTATCACGGCATTTTTCCTTAACCCTTGCCCTTCCTCTTCCTTTAATGCGTCTAAAGGGAGAAAAACCCATGTCTGCCACTAGGTCCCTGCACAACCGCACGACGCTCCAAAGCACGTTGGCTAGCGAATTTTTTTAGCGATGCCTGACTTTCCTTCTCTCTAGGAAGGTAGATTTTCCCCCGGTAACTGTCTAGATCTAATCCACGACAAGGGTTGAATCGAGCGTTTCCTAGCACCTTTAAAGGGCCGGTGAAGTCAAAATGCGCCTATCTAGGGCCCTGACTAGGGAATGTTTTCGGGCGGACATCGGACCCAGATATATGAGTATGTGCATCTTGTAGAGCTCGACGAGACGAATCGATTGATGTAACTTTTAGCTGCTGATACCTTATTTTAACAAAGTTACAACGGTTTAAAGTTTTTGGCCATACCTTCATAGGCTCTCCCCACACCCTGACCACCGTGTCCTGGTGGCCTAGTGGCTTAGTAGTCGGCGTCTGAAGATGGTAACGAGGGTACGGATCCGCTCACGGTTTTTATTTTTTGCTTTTTGGTCGAGAGCTTCCTTTTTGCACCCCGATGGCCCCCAAACACTTATTTCAAAGTTTTTTTTGTCTCCAGGACTTACACCAAATTTGGTGACAGTATTCATTGGATTTTTGTTCTTGCAAGTACAACCAATGTTGATGACTTCAGCTCGTAAAATTCTCTGTGTTCCCCTTATGCTTATTGATTGGGAATATGGTTGCGAAACCGTCCGGCAGGTAAAAAACTTTGAAATAAGTGTTTGGGGGCCATCGGGGTGCAAAAAGGAAGCTCTCGACCAAAAAGCAAAAAATAAAAACCGTGAGCGGGTCCGTACCCTCGTTACCATCTTCAGACGCCGACTACTAAGCACCTAGGCCACCAGGACACGGTGGTCAGGGTGTGGGGAGAGCCTATGAAGGTATGGCCAAAAACTTTAAACCGTTGTAACTTTGTTAAAATAAGGTATCAGCAGCTAAAAGTTACATCAATCGATTCGTCTCGTCGAGCTCTACAAGATGCACATACTCATATATCTGGGTCCGATGTCCGCCCGGAAAACATTCCCTAGTGAGGATTTTTTCACGGAACTGCCGAGACTGAAGTGTCACTTTTTGAGTGTCCAAGCGCCTTTGAAAGGACAAAAAAACAAAACAAACACAAACATTTTTCGCGTTCCTCAAAATTGTCGAGACCTAGTAAAGGAAACAGGTTGACATCTCGTGTTTCTCAGTACCTTTAAATTCAAAGTGGCACACGGTGTTGAAAGTTAAAACTCTATCAAGCTGGACCATCAAGCTACCAAGGTTGCAACGCGACTTGTGGCATGTGGCCCGCCGGCTCCTTTCCATGATGCCCTCCCCTCCGTTGTCGTTCCCTTTTTTTCCTCAAAAAAGGGTCTGGCCAAGTGCTGTAATGGGCGTCAACCACTTCCCCGGGGTTGATGGCCCATCATCCCGTGGAATCCTATGGGGGTTTGCCTTTAACCTCCCCGTTTTTATGGGGATCAAGTCCAGCTGGCCGGCTATTGTGCGAGCTTTTTAGGCCGCGGGAAATGATGGATCGTGGGATTTCACAAATTTTATTCTGGTTTTTTGGAGGAACTGACTTATTAGGTTGTACAAAAAGTCCTGGCGTTTTTGGGCTTGGATCGCTTTATCAAGAACGGTTTCGATATCAGGGTTAATTGTAATATGTCGTTTGAAAGTACTCATCGTACTCTACAGAACGGTTACAGTAACTTTGTCACATTACATTTTTTGAGTTTTTTAGAAGGTCTGAAAGTTAGAACCAAAATTGCCTTTTTTCTTGTTTCCTTCAAAACTTTTTTGACAGGCGGCGCAGAACCGTAATGAAGATAGCATTCGACTAAGCTCACGAAGCACTACAAAACGTGCCGTAAAAGTCCCGGTTCAAAAATTATTCCGTTGAGATACAACAGAGTAAAATTTGGTCAGTGTCCAAATCATCGCTCTTTCCGAATTTTGGGAAAATAATTTTTTTACATTTCTGAGCATTGGAAATAGAATTTAAACAACTACGAAGTTTGCACCAAGGCATTATAAAAAATCCCGAGCCGTTTTTATGGCTGATTAGGTTGAAATGGGATCTGGGGAGCCGAAAAAGCTCAAAAACTGACCGAATTTTGCACGGTCGTATCTCAACGGAATAATTTTTCAACCGGGACTTTTACGGCACGTTTTGTAGTGCTTCGTGAGCTTAGTCGAATGCTATCTTCATTACGGTTTTACGCCGCCTGTCAAAAAAGTTTTGAAGGAAACAAGAAAATAAGGCAATTTTGGTTCTAACTTTCAGACCTTCTAAAAAACTAAAAAAAAATGTAATATGACAAAGTTACTGTAACCGTTCTGTAGAGCACAATGAGTACTTTTAAACGACATATTACAATTAACTCTGATCTCGAAACCGTTCTTGATAAAGCGATCCAAGCCCAAAAACGCCAGGACTTTTTGTACTACCTAATAGCTTTGGATCAAGTTCATGCTTCTCTCTCTGTATCTCCGCCTCTCAGACATGCTCATGACTACACTGCCTCTCTCTTCTCTCTCTCTTTCTCTCTCTCTCTCTCTCACTCTCTCTCTCTCTCTCTGTCTCTGTCTCTCTTTCCCTTTCCAGTCGACATAAATCTGTCTCTTGCACCCGTTCAAAAAAGCCATGAAAATGAACAACCCAAACTTTTCGTTCTCTCTCTCCCTCTCTCTCTCTCTCTCTCTCTCTCTCTCTCTGTCTCCCTCTCTACCTCCCTCTCTCTCTCTCTCTCTCTCTCTCTCGCTATAATCAACATTCCAGAAGCGACCCTGTACATATGTGCCGAAGATCCTGAAGTGTGACTCCCCACACTAAATAAAAACTATAAATGGGCGACCGAACGAACGCGTTTTCGATTTTGCAGCGAACCCGGCAGACGCTGAATGATCTCAGCAGGTAATTGAATAGCTTTTTCGTACTTTTTTGTATTCAATGACTTTCGAGTGGAAAAGTGCTTTTGGTTGCGGGAAAAGCCAGCCTTCACGTAATTCGATCCCTGGTATCGTGGTGGCAATCCGGGAAAACGATTTTCGGAGTACTGGTCTTTCGCTTTTCTCTAATGAAACATTTCATCATTCTAATTTTCGCTTTTTTGCTGGAAATAATTGTTCGATTTAGGTTCTTAACCGGTACTCCAGAATTACCCGAGCCTCCGTCATTCGTCAGCCTGAAGCCAGTGGCAAAACGGAAAAGCCGGGAAATGAGAGCAACTTGGTAAGTTGTTTGGTTTTTGTGATTTAAATTCTCATCGAATTTTAAATTTTTTCGAATATATATATACAGGATTTATATCAGAGATCTCTTGTAGATATCTGAGTTTTTTTCAAAACCCCTAAAAATAAATCCTACTTCCGCTTCATACCTTGAAGACGGTGGTTGTTGACTCCGGTCCCCCCAACGATCCCATCTCCAAAATCGCGTAGAAAACCCGTGAGGGCAAAATGGGGCCCATCTGGCTTACACTACGGCGAAGCACTGGGCGGGGGTGGCCCGTTCTGACTGGCACATGCATCCGTAATGTGCCTCATTCCTTCGTGCCACTGTGTATTGCATTCCTTTAGCGCTAATAATCAAAGCATTTGCCGTTTTCAGGAGGCAAAACATTAGGAAAACTCAAATTAATTGTATCCAGACTAATTAAGCGTTTTTAGGTGCCCAATCCCGTCCACTTCCGGCCAAAACCCGAATCGTCGACATCACTCGTTGACGAGCATGAAGACTTACTACGCTTTCGGAGCAAGGAGCCACAGGTTTGTCTAAGCCTAAACATAATCCTAAGAATCATCCTAAGCCCAAGCCTAAGCCTAGGCTCGCACAAACGAAAAACCTCCTTTAGCGCCGGTTCCGGCAGTCGCAGCTTCAACTCCCTCAACCTCGACACCTATGGAAGTGATTATGGGCGCAGGAGGTGGGTTATTTAGCTCGAGAAACCTTACTTTTTTTTTGGTCATTTCAGCTTTTCCACCCGAAGCTATGGGTACGGGTACGTGCCGCCGATTTCGGTCAGCACCCGGATGCAGGCGTCCTACCCTTCTGAACGGCAGATTTTGGAAGACCCCTCCGCGTTGATATCAAAGTTAGTTCTTATGGAAAACATGAAAAAGACGCGTCTAATAGATACATTTTCAAATTCTTGATTTCCGAGGAAGACCCGTTTCTTAGATATTGCCGCAGCCCAACTATCTCTTCGATTCCGACCACAAGATCTTCCGGGTATTCATCGGTAAAACACTCATTTGCCATAAACTTCTGTTCTAGACATCCTCTACAACTCTTTCCCCGAATTCCGTCACTAGCCGTCACCAAAAATCGTCATCAGTATCGTCAGGAGTTTCGGCTGGAGCTTCAGCTTATTCAAACACTTCGGAGCATGAGGTTGGTAGCATTCAGCACTATCGAACGCTTGCCCTAGATCTTTAAACTTCCGAGAATCTCTGCCATCTCCGAGCTAAAGGAGGTCAAGGAAAAAACCCCAGAAGTCTCAAGGCGAACTGAGTCTTATTTGGTATCTTTTCTATATTAATGGTAGTTCAAAAAATTTTCAGGAGCTACGCGATTCCCCGAATCTGCTATCCCCACCCCTGAAAACTGATAGGGCCACTTCCGCCTCATTAGGTGGGTTGAGAAACTTGCAAAATTACGAGAAATAGAAACTAAAATCGAATTTAAGAGATTCTTCCCCAAACTGATGAGGTCGACGACTTGAAACGCCAGAATCGATTTCTGGAGGAGGAGGTGGCGAGGCTGAAGCTGTTGTTGAAAGAGAAGGAGCGGATTGAGCATGAGATAAAAAGGTAAGGAAGCGTATCCTACTATATATAAAAAAATAGTGTCTGTGTGTGTGTGCCACTTTGCATCCACTTCCGTATCGTTGTTCCAGTCGTATCTCTATAGGGGAAGAAGTTAGGGGTGGGTACGATACGTCATTATGTGCGTAATGGTCTAGGGATGACTGCCCACATATCAGATTTATAAAAATCAGCAATTTTCGATATTAAATTTAAGTTTTTGTAAAACCCTCTTCGCTAGGAAAAATTAGCATTGACCGGAAGTAGGAAGTCGCCTATATAAAGGGTCAGAAGCGAATAATTTTCATTTTTTTTGGTCATCGGAATTCAGCGCAATTATGCAAAGCGTGGAACAGCATGCTGTCCAAGACGGGGCCAGGGTTGAAAAGTCGCGAAGCGGCTTTTCAACCCTGGTTTTATAACTTAAAAATTTGTGACTCTCCAGGAAACTCTTGGAAGTCGAGGCTGAGGCTAAAGTTTGGCGGAACAAGTGCGAGCATTTACAGCCGAAGGTTATACAGATCACGTGAGTTAATTCTCAAAAAATTGCGCTGTCCAAAATTGCGATATACCGCTAGGTTTTCTAAACTGGTTTAAATACTTGCAAAAAATGATTTCGTGGTTCGAAAAAGGCTTCCAAATTACTGGCAGGACCTGACATCCGAAAAGCAAAAAAAATTGCCCACTCACGGGATTGAACCGTGGACCTTCTGTTTACGAGACAGACGCTCTGCCACTGAGCTAAACGGGCGATGGGGTGGGGATGATGCGAGGGCCTCTTCCCCCTTCCCGCCCCCATTGATTCATTAGCATCCGATTAGTGTGTGGATCTCGGCTGTTCATACAAAAGTCCTTTCCCCTTCCTCTCATTCACCTGCCCTTATAGCTCAGTGGTAGAGCGTTGGTCTTGTAAACCAAAGGTCGGTGGTTCAATCCCGCCTGGGGGCAACGGCACTCACTTTTTGACGGCTAAAATTTAATCCTGCAAAAAAGAGCTTTTGCTGAAATGGAACGAAACTCTATTTGCTTACCTAGCTTGGTTTTTTGTAAAAAAATCTAGTTTTTTTTGGGAAGCATGCTTTATTCATCCGCTCAAAAATCCATTTATCAATTTGGTGAGAAAATGTTGCTTTACTGGCCGAAAGCCTGACCGTCGAAGCCATGTTGTGATTTTGCCATTGGCAAACACAAAAATTTCACCGTTTCGATATGGTAAAATGCTTTGTATAATGTCCCGAATCTGCACCCCAAAAAAAACAAAAAGAATTGCCCACTCACGGGATTGAACCGTGGACCTTCTGTTTACGAGACAGACGCTCTGCCACTGAGCTAAACGGGCGATGGGGTGGGGATGATGAGAGGGCCTCTTCTCCCTTCCCGCCCGACTCGATGCATCAGCCTCCGATTAGTGTGTGGATGTCGGCTGTTCATACAAAAGCCCTTTCCCCTTCCCCTCTTCCAGCTGCCCTTATAGCTCAGTGGTAGAGCGTTGGTCTTGTAAACCAAAGGTCGGTGGTTCAATCCCGCCTGGGGGCAATTGCACTCAATTTTTGACTACTTTAAGGTAATAATCACCCTGTAACCTATAACCTGTATATCTTGTGGAAACCTATGCGAATTTCGCTGTCAAGGAAAAAATCTGCGGCTTAAAAAAACCATTTTTGTCCTTTTTTTACTATATTTTCCTTAGTTTTTAACCGGTTTTTTTAACTGAATTTTGCCGACTATTACGGGCTTTTCGATGCAAATTAACGTATATGTTTCTTCAAGGTTTGTACAAATACTTTGTTCACGGTTCACCTGGCACATCAATGATATGAGATTATTACAACCGGTTTTGTCATGGGGGTTATAAATTGCGTACAAAATGCGAGAGGCGTAGAAGGGCACGTTTACTGGCCGAACGTCTGGCCGTTGAAGCCCTGCTGCTGGCCCTGTTGGCCCTGTTGCTGTCCTCCGAATACGCCGTTGTTGCTTTGTCCTGGAATTGGCCGGATGATTAGTCTTTAGCTTCTCTCTCTTTCTCTCCCCCTCTCTCTTCCTCCCTCTCTCTCTCGTTCTCTCTCACCTCCGAACCCGTTTCCGTCCTGCTGACCCTGATGGCCATGTTGGCCTTGCTGTCCCTGTCCTCCGAACTGTCCGTTCTGCTGGCCGTTCTGGTTGCCGAACGGAGCCGTGAAGCCTCCTAAAAACAAAAATAGGCGTCTAGCACTTTGGTAAAGAAAAACTAGATATTCTGACGTCTTTAAAAATCTGCAAAAATCCCACCTTGTCCTCCAAATTGGCCATTCTGCTGTCCGTTCTGGCCTCCAAGCCCACCGGGGAAGTCTCCTAAAATTAAGATAAAATTGCTGGTTTCTTTTCTTTAGAGGAACAGGAAAAACAAAATCTATAGGCTCGATAGGCCGAATGGAATCCAATTTTTTCTTACCCTGTCCGCCAAACATTCCATTGCCGTTCTGCTGGCCCTGCTGACCCTGCCGACCCTGTTGTCCGAAACCGCCGAATCCGCCGTTCTGCTGGCCATTCTGGTTCTGGCCCTGGCCGCCGAACTGTCCATTCTGGCCGTTCTGCTGGCCTCCGAAGCCGTTCTGGCTGTTCTGGCCTCCGAACTGTCCATTTTGCTGGCCTCCCTGGCCTCCGAAGGGTCCGTTCTGTCCATTTTGACCGTTCTGCTGGCCTCCAAAGTTTCCGAAAGATCCGGTCTAGAATTATCGACGTAAAGATGAGCCCGTTAAATCCTTACCCTTCCGGACCACGACCTGTGCGGGCGTTCGGTGGAGCTGAACGGAATTTATTATTTTTATATTTTTTCAATCATAGCTAAAAGACAAGCCAGTCGAACTACGTTCAAAATTAGCATATGAGAAATTTTAGGTTTTAAATAGTGGTCACAAAATTGAATTTAATACGATGAGTAGCGCAGTAAGACCTACAAAGCAGCAACGACGGCAAGCAGTCCGAAGGCGATGACGGCTGTCTTCATTATAATTATGGTAGTTTAACGGGGTAGTGAAAGTTAGCTGAAAACTGTCTGATTCCAAGCGCCACCAGCTCGAGTTTTATATCCAGAAAGTAGGGGTTGAAGTGTCCCGGGGTCGAGCTTTGCATATATTGTACCAGCTGCCCACACATGGCCCAATTTCCAATGAGTCAGTATAGTAATGGACCGGTTGTTTGGCCATGATTGACGTCGGAATGAATGGGATTTGACATCAAGTAGCGGTTTAGAGGGGCAAAGGGCAGGAATTTCGCGTGGATTGTTGTTGTTGATCCTAGGATTTGGGTGGGTTTCAGGCTTCCCCCCTCTCTCTCTCTCTCTCTCTCTCTCACTCTATCTCTCTCGCGCCCTCTCTCTGTCTCTCTCAGTCTCGCTCTCACTCCGGCTTATGCCCTTCATCGTTGTTATTCAGCCGATTCAAATCGAATTTTATATCTATCGAGAACCTGATATGCAGAAATTCAAGGGCACTATGTGGCATTACGGTAACTGACACATTTTGCGTATTTTTATCGGTTTTCATAAAACGTAAACATAACTTAACGTAATATTCTGTTGCTTGCTCCTCTCAATCAATCGATTCCTCGATTTTCTTAGAAAATTCTAGCTTTCGCAGACCATTTAGACCAATCCAGAGAACTCCTCATTTTTCCAAATTACGCTACGGCCAGCGTCTACCCCCGGCTGCGTAAACTTCACTTTTTCGGCTCGTCTGTCCCAGACGGTGTCGAACTGTGGTGGGGAATTCCCCGGACAATGATAAAGCACCTTCGTCACAATAATAATAGCATCAAGCGTCCCCCAAAATATTTATTAAAACCTGGGAAACTTGTTTTGTTGGTCAAGCGCAAATTTGGATGTTTTTCACGTAATATACCAAAAATATTTGATTCCAGTGAGCCGTCCATTGACCAGGAGCTGCTCGAGAAGTTGGACAGCGCGACGGACAAGCTGACAAAGCTGAACTTTGCTCATGATATGAAGATGCTGCAGGTGAGGGCCATCGAAATTAGGGCTATCTAAAACGGTTTTTTAGAGTCAAATGGAGACCGCGCTTCACGAGATGTCGTCGTGAATCGACGTTTCGTTGCTAATAAATTTTTCAAAATCTTGAACATCTTGAGAGAGCCGATATGACAGTTTATTTTATTAGCGCTTACTATTTTACATATATCGTAAAATTTTCAAAAAGCCTTGACGTAACATCACTGAGATATGAAGGCTTCTTTCCGGCATCGCGCGGGTTCTTTGTCTGTTCTCCCTTCCGTCCCCACTCGGCCCCCACCTGGTCCACCCTCTCTCTAGATGTCCTCTCCCCTCCACACCCAATTCGAAATCATACTTCATAGGATCATTTCTATAGTATGCATTTCACTATACCCACTAAATTGCGACACCTCGCACCCACCGATGATTGGGTCTGAGGCGAGTGGAGAGCGGGAAGAACGGTTTGCCCCCGTTTTCGGGTGGCATTCCGCTGAGGACCGCGTTCATTTCCGGAAACGGATTCGGACAACCACTTGACTCCCTGAGGGGGAAAGTGGAGCGCAAAAGAAATTTTTGGTTTGGCTTGGGAGCCAAAAAAAATCGGAGAGTAACATGCAATTGCCAGAAAAGGTGAGGCTTCGAAAGCTTTAAAAAAATCTTGACTTGTCGGGGTCCTCATCTGCGCCGAAAAATCTGAAAATGTTTTCCAAGGCTTTCAAAATTACAAAATATGAAGATGTTAAGGAGCAACGTGTAAGTCATTTTTGGTAACGCCTTATATAAGTTGGTTCGTTCGATTTATACCTGTCACCACCGATTTAAATTGATACTGCGTCGGTAAAGAATTGGAAAATCAGGAGAGGATCTCTAACTCCAAAAAATCGGTGCACAGGGAAACTATTGGTTTATTTCTAAAGTGAAAATCGGGATGGAAAGTGCTGGGAAAGTCAGTACTGACCTATTCAGCCACTCGATCAAGTATGCAGATATTCGATGAGACCCGGAAAATTCGGTCCCATATAAGTAGAAAGCATCAAGGATCTCATATTCCCAATCATGGCTTGTTGGGTGACTTCGGCAATCGGCTTTGCGGGCTTCGGTTTGTCAGGAAAATTGGTTTGACGATAACTTTTTAGTGCTCCTCGCCCAGGCGGCGCGTGGAGGTATGTTTTTACGCTTTGCATGCTTTATAATGACTAAATTGGAGGGCTTAGCGAGCTTAGAAAACTTGGCTTAACGAGCTTCATCTACTTACAGGTGGTTCAAGCAGCTACCAGGCACCATACCAACCGCCTTCGCCGGCAGGCTACGGTGGTCCACGTCCGCCGCCTCCAGCACCTTCCGGATCTTACCAACCTCCACCACCACCCTCTGGATACTACCAACCAGCTCCGCCTCCGGATTGCCCAGAACCCAGCACTACCGAGGCCCCAACTCCTGCTCCAACCCCGGCTCCTACCACCGTGGCGACGACCCCTGAGCCTATCACTACGCCTACCACGACCGCGCTGCCGACCACCAAGCCGAGTGCTAATGGGGGTTCGGGAGGGCAAGTTGGTGAGTAAAGGCATATTGAGTTGTTTCTGTCTCTGCCTCTGGCCCGCCCCCCATACGTCTGCAAACCTACAAAATTCAGCCTGCCAATGCTTCAATTCGACCAAGATCGAAGAGCCGCTCCGCAACCTCGATGGGGCCGTAGCCGAGCTCGATTCAAATGACCAGGATGTGTAAGCTAAGCTAACAGCGCCGAATAGGTCTAATAAGCTAAACATATTCTTTTCATTTTCAAACGGTTTGTTATGCCAATTTTTTTCAGACCCGCAAACTGCGGCATCCCCAACACCGGCGACATCACATGTGAAATCCAGGGAGACACCCCGCCCTACACGCTCACACTTGACTACTACGATCGTGTAAGGCTAGGGCTTAGGCTTAGGCCTCGACCTATAAATAAGAAAAAAAACTCAGCTTGGTAAAGGTAAAATCAAGCCACCTTTCAGCATGAAAAACTCTTCTGGACGGACACGCGATGCCTGACCACAAATCTGGTCGTCGACACGGTCTGCGAGGACCGCGAAAGCTATGCCTTCCCGGGGTACCACCACACTGCGCTGTACTTTCTGAAGAATGCGGTCTGTTTTTCACACTTACAAACCGGATAGCGTAAAGTTTTGGCCAAGAAAAGCCAAATGTCCTTTTGAAACTACGTGGTTCTAAAAGACGTTCCGATTAGCACATGTTCCCGTAGTACAATGTAATTTTTACAGCCCGAGGAGCATAGAAAAACCGGCGTGGCACATTTCAAATGCTCGGTCGGCGAGCCATGTCAACCATAAACCTGTTGTGAAGTGTCAAGTGGCAAGTTGCGAATAAAATCGTTTATTAGCAAGACATTCGTTACAATACGTGATGCAGGCGGTCTATTTAAATGCTTAGAAGGGCATGTTCTTGAAGCCTGAAAAGGAAAACGCTATTGAAAGGATGGGATTGGAAATAACAATTCGGGAAATCGACTAACCGTTTTCGTTCCGGGAGAAACTTGGGGTGGAGGCGCCTAATAAATAGATTTGGAGCACTGATATATTTTAAAAATATAAAAGCAATAGCTAAGATAATTAAAAAATTACCGTTGTGTCCGTGCTGTCCGTATTGTCCGATTCCACCGGTGGCGCGGCCTAAATGGTGTTTTGAAAGCTGGTAGGACTGTCGGTATTTTTTTGCAGCTTACAGTGCCAGGGTTCGAAGTCAGGAAATTTATAAAAAATGCAATACTCACTTCCGAATCCACCATTGCGCCCATTGTGGCTGTGCAGACGGAATCCTCCAGTCACGCCGTCTAAAAAACGTTCGATCGTACCGGATTCTCAATTTTCAGGGGCTTTTTTTAATGAATTCTGAGTGCTAAAACGTACTCTCGCCGTCGCGGCCATTCTGGCTGTGCTGGCGAAAGCCACCGGTGGCGCCATCTAAATAAATCAAATCAACAGATTCAAAATTCGAGAATTTTTGTAAAAATGCTCACTTTCACCATTACGCCCGTTCTGGCTGTGTTGCCTGAAGCCTCCGGTGACACCAACTGAAACAAAATAAACAGGCAACTTCAGAACACTGACTTCCAAATCCGTTTTGACTGTTTTGTCCGTTTCCGCCTCGGCGTCCGGATCCGGAAGAGCGGCTCCATTGGCGCTCCGGCTTCTGGGTGCTGGCACCGCGACGGCCTTCGCGCTCATCATCGTGCGATGAGCTAAAATCTGGTTAGATTCGAAGTTCTAAAATATTTTTCTGTCTTGAACGTATTAACTTAAAAAATGGCTCGAGAATCCACTAGAAATTTAAAATACCTAAAGAATCTCTGCTCGTTTGCGCGCTTCAGCATATTTCTAAACCTAGAGCATATTCGCTAGTAATTTAAATCCTAGCCTAAAAAATTTCGTTAGCTGTCAGTGCTATAAAGCTGGCTTGTCTGCTATTGCCTTTAAACAAGCGTAAATTTCTCGTATTCCCTAGAAACCCCTGCCAGCCACCCTTTTCGAAACCCCGCTTCAAGGGATCTTTAAACTAGCTCTCACCTGGTAGCGGCAACAGCCAAAACGAAGAGGGCGATGAGAATGAAGCACTTCATATCGTTGTATATGTCAGAATCCGAAGAACTGATGCATTCCACCCCGCTTTCAAACCTTATATACCCAAAACTAGCTGCTGATGTTACCAGAACTGTCTAACTAAAGTTTTTGCATATTTAGGGGGTGAACACGCTTGTCCAGCTATGCCCACACACAACCATGACTCACGAGTGGGCGAGCAAGTTTTGATGCTGCTGGTGATATTTGGCGCACTGCTTCGCTGGCGTTACTTTGCTCATAGGCCGAAGCTGAATTATTTGTGGCTTTTTGGGGGTGGATGACGTGCTGTTTAGGCGGTTAGGTAAAATTTTTTGTTATTTGAAATTTGTATATTTTGCTGTTGAAATTTTTCGCACATTGAATAAGTCTTTCGACCCTCGAGTCTTCTGAGGGCTTTTGAGCTTTTGAGGGTTCGCGGTCTTTTTGACAACCACATCCGTGATTTTCCGCTTTTTTTTGGCTCCCAAGCCAAGACCAAAATTGTTTTTGCGCACCTCTTTCCCCCTCAGGGAGGCAAGTGGTTGTCCGAATCCGTTTCCGGAAATGAACGCGGTCCTCAACGGAGTGCCACCCGAAAACGGGGGCAAACCGTTCTTCCCGCTCTCCACTCGCCTCAGATCCAATCATCGGTGGGTGCGAGGTGTCGCAATTTAGTGGGTATAGTGAAATCACTTATATATAAATTGCTAATGTCCGTGCGCCCGACCGTCCGTACGGATCGCTGCGGGACCCCCATGCCCCCAGGCTATGCCCCCAGGTCAACGTGCCCCCAGGCCATGTCCCGGGGAAAGGGGGAGGGGTCAGAGGTCACAGGGGCCGTTCGCGCATTAATGGTAGCAGAAATCCCCAAACAAAAGAGTAATTGTTTCGCAACGGTTTTTATTGCTTTTTTAGTATTAAAGAAGGTTTAGGACTTTGTTTTAAAGGGTATTCTAGCCATTACGCTATTCTTAGATTTTTTTTAGTATTAAAGAAGGGTGAATAACTTTCTTTCAATGGTATTAAAGCCATTACGCGTTTCTTAGATGTTTTTTAGTAGCTAAGAAGGGGAAATAACTTTCTTTGAAGGGTATTCTAGCCATTCCGCGTTTCGTAGATGTTTTTTTAGTAGCTAAAAAGGGGAAATAACTTTCTTTGAAGGGTATTCTAGCCATTACGCGTTTCTTAGATGTTTTTTAGTAGCTAAGAAGGGGAAATAACTTTCTTTGAAGGGTATTCTAGCCATTACGCTTTCTTAGATGTTTTTTAGTAGCTAAGAAGGGGAAATAACTTTCTTTGAAGGGTATTCTAGCCATTACGCGTTTCTTAGATGTTTTTTTAGTAGCTAAGAAGGGGAAGTAACTTTCTTTGAAGGGTATTCTAGCCATTACGCGTTTCTTAGATGTTTTTTAGTAGCTAAGAAGGGGAAATAACTTTCTTTGAAGGGTATTCTAGCCATTACGCGTTTCTTAGATGTTTTTTAGTAGCTAAGAAGGGGAAATAACTTTCTTTGAAGGGTATTCTAGCCATTACGCGTTTCTTAGATGTTTTTTAGTAGCTAAGAAGGGGAAATAACTTTCTTTGAAGGGTATTCTAGCCATTACGCGTTTCTTAGATGTTTTTTTAGTAGCTAAGAAGGGAAATAACTTTCTTTGAAGGGTATTCTAGCCATTACGCGTTTCTTAGATGTTTTTTTAGTAGCTAAGAAGGGGAAGTAACTTTCTTTGAAGGGTATTCTAGCCATTACGCGTTTCTTAGATGTTTTTTTAGTAGCTAAGAAGGGGAAATAACTTTCTTTGAAGGGTATTCTAGCCATTACGCGTTTCTTAGATGTTTTTTTAGTAGCTAAGAAGGGAATGAACTTTCTTTCATGGGCATTCTAGCCATTACGCGTTTCCTAGATGTTTTTTTAGTCTCGAAGAAGGGTACAACTTTGTTTCAAGGGTCTTCTATGTTTTTTTTATTCCTAAAGAAGGTTATAGCTTTCCTTCTGGGGGGTGTGTTAACCATTAGTTCCTTCTCTTTTTGTTTAGGATCAGCTACGGGTGTTGGGGGGTTTCTTTCAGGGGTTGGGGGTTTCTTTCAGGGGGAATAGGAGGAGTGGAAGGTTCTTTGGTTTTGGAGGAGGTGCATAGGTAGATCACGGAAGGTCTCCGCGCCAAGCGGGAATATACTAAAGAGAATGGGAAGCACCCTGTATTGCCTTGCCCCCCGGGAGGGCCAGGCAAAAAAAGCCGCGAAGCGGCTTTTTTTGACTGGTGCATACTATAGAAATGATCCTATGAAGTATGATTTCGAATTGGATGTGGAGGGGAGAGGAGATATAGAGAGAGGGTGGGCCAGGGGGGGGCCTAGTGGGGATGGGATGGAGAACAGACAAAGAACGCGCGCGATGCCCCTGCCCCCCCTCCCCAGCCGGTCGTGCCCAAGATGTTTGGAGCTTTCCGCTATTTTTGAAAGCCACACTAACTGTTGTATACGTTGAAATCCGTATACAAATAAACGCAAAAAATGTATAGCAAAATCCATAAGTGTTATCTCATACAACCTCGCGTGTTTTCGCGACCACTTTGAATTCTTCTTTGTCAAAAAAATTTTCTAAACTCGATGCCAGATTTTACCTTCCTATGCGATGATAAAGAATTGGGTAAAGGTTTATACAGGTTTCGCAATAACTGTACATTATAGACAAGGGTTGCTGGGTCGGCTTGGCACAAATCGTGACTTGTTGGTGATGTCGAGCATCGTCAGTGTGACGATAGGATGCGGAAGAGCTCAACTTAAAAAAATTGTTAACGCCAAGCTCTGTTTTTTTTCTATTACAGCTTATTTACCAGATAGAGAATTTGTAGTAAAACTTACGACTCGGCGTATCCAATTCATCAGCCGGTTGTTCGAGATGGACAATGGAAAACGCAATAGAGAGCAGGGCAGCACAGATAACGAGCCACTTCATGTTTCAAGTTCACTTTGAGTTTGTCTTGATTCTCCACCGTATATATCGAACTCTAGAGCCTGATTTGCATATCGGTTCAGAGATCTGCTCAAAACATTGTCGCTTTTCAGGGCACGGAAATAGCCTGAGTCTCTCTCTCTCTCTCTCTCTCTCTCTCTTCTATGTCGTAACCCAAACTCGGGTGTGAAAAGCTTCATACAATTTATGCACACAAATCTGATCAAACGTCATAAGGGTCAAACATTTTCGAAAACACATACGTGAAGCGGCAAAACAAATTCGAAGGACACGTTCCCTGAAAGCACAAAGGAAAAACGGGATATAAAAATTTTTCTAGAAGTGGTTTCGAATGTTTTTGTGGGATGGGCAAGGTGAGCAATGGATACAAAGTCAACACGAAATGTCAAAGCAAATTAACACAGTGGAATGCGAGCGTTAGAACAAAATGGAATGTGCGATACCCATGGCGAGAAAAGTTTCAGCAAGCATTTGGAAACTTGAAGGGGAAGATAGTTGGATTTTACTGCTCTAGGAAGCTGACTTTGGCCGTGTGTTTTCGACACAGTAGCGCGAGCGTTAATAATGTTGTCAAGCCGATTGTGGCCATCACGGAGACGAGAAGGTTGAAACTAAAATCGTTTGTAAATTAAGGGAAACACTGTTTCTTTCCGCTTCTTTCGCTCTCTCTCGCTCTCTCTCTCTCTTTTACCTATCTTCTTTCTCTCTCTCTCTCTCTCTCTCTCTCTCTCTCTCTAGCATAAATGACGAATCATTACCTCCACTGCGTCATGCAAATTTCGACCCCTCCTTCCCACTGCTCGGCCAACGACTGGGCGACCTTGTTGTTGGATTTATCTAATAGAAAGTAGATGGCTCGTGAACCTAACGCTTACCGGCATCCTCGTCAACTTCAAACACGGTCATGCTCTGCGAAAATACATCAACATCCGGGCCTCGCGGCTGGGTGACCGTCACATTTTGTGCGGAACGCTTCCCTCTCAACGTATTCGGGCAGGCGTCGGAGGTTCTCTGAAAAATAAATCGCGCTTAATTATTAATAATAACTATTTGGTATGATATTTTTCATGGTCATTACCAGAAACTCCACTTCCATGGTCCTTTAAAATTACAACTGTACGTAAAAATAACTAACGTAAAACTCACATGACAAGCCCCATCCTCCTTGAGCGATAGCCTTATTTGACATTGGAAATACAGGGATGGTTGGTCAGCAAATTTGAACACAAACGAGCTCTGCCCACCGGTGAGGGCCGAGGTGTAGACCAGGTTGGTTAGTAGGTATCTGAAGATCACGCTGTTAACCCTGGCCAAATTTTAGCATAAAGGGTTCCTATACCCTATACTCTTTGGATAAAATTTTTCGATCGCCAAAACAGGCGTCTGGGACCGGCCCTGCCCTAGCAGCATTGCCGAAAAATTCGGAACTAACCGTGTTTGTTTGCCAAAGGGGTTCTACGTTTTTGACACGGCAGACTAGTTTTTTTTTGTTGTTTTTGCGGAAGATCGGCATCAAAGCTGGTTGCAGCTTTAAGCAACATTTTGCCCAATTTGTTGGCATTTAAGCCCGATCATGGAATTTCCTGTGATTGGAAAACACGGAAATGAATCTGGACACCAATTTAGATCGGTAGATAACTACCTTTTTCTAATTTTTTTGCGTTATCATCTGCCACTTACTTGTCCACAGAGCATCCATTTTCATCGAGCAACATCGCCTGTTTGCCGCTCTCCTCCCGCACATTACATGAGTGTACGGTGGCGCAAAAGGGAGATTCTGCAAATGAAAATCACCTGCATTTGAAGTCCCAAAAAAATTCCATAATTGATTGATTTATTTCCCAGACTTTTGACTTCCCGATCCATCAAATTCCTCAAAAAACGCGCCGCTTATTCACCTCAAAAATGTGCTAAAAGCCGCACTCTTGCCCCTCCACCCCCTCGATAAGTGCCCACTTTGCGCGGTTTCGACTTGTCAAGGGGGATTCTCGATCCGGCCCCGGCTGCCCGAGCTACGAGAGACATCTAATTCCGGAAAACGACCCGATTCCGGCCCGAAAAACGGGTGGAACACCTCGAGTGGCCAACACCAACCGGCTTCTGGATGGGCTGGATCCTCGCAGCTCCATCGGTGGTAGACATGTTGGCCGACCGTCGCGAATTTGACCGGCTCGCCCTTGTCGGTTTCGGTTAAGACCTAGGAAGAAAAAACTGAATGATAAAATGTAATCAGTGGTACTTCATAGCGGCAGGTTGGAAGCTGGAAGGTTGAGGTGATCGTTTCTTCAGGAACTCCACTAAAAGACACACAATTAAAAGGGGCTTCATTCTCTTTCTCCCGCACGCTTTCTCTAGCTTTCTTTCTCTCACGCTTTCTCGCTCTCTTTCTCTAGCTTTCTTACTCTCTCGCTGGCTCACGTTCTTTCTAACTGTCTCTAGCTCTCTCCCTCTCCCACTTTCCTTCTCTCTTCTCTCAATTGACCCATTTTGGTTGGTGGTTTTCTAACAATTATTTTAAACCACTCGGCCCAAACTTCCCTCTAAAAATAACTTTTCCAAATCAGCCCATTCCCCCGACCCGACAGCTCCGACAGTTCCCGGATTGATGAGTTTTTCTAGTGCCTCCGATCTCGCGAGAGTCATGTGCCAGCCGGTCCATTTTTGGCACTTGGATCCGGCATGGAATGGGTTATCTGATCGCACGCGATTCCAGGATTTCGCTACCAGGTGGCTCAACTGGAAACGGATCAAGAAAACCTACTCATCTAGTCCAAATTGATTTTGGCCGTTGGCGGGCCGGCGGGCAAGACCTCCGGCTGCCGCTGGATCGTCGCCCTGGATGTTCTTCAACTGCTCGGGGCTCATGCTGAAATGGGTCTTGGAATAGAGTAAGCTACGAAACGGCGGAACTTGCTATTTCTCTCTTTCCCTCACTATCACGCTCTCTCTCCAGAGATGTATAGATTTTTGAGATTTTCAATCGATTTCGCGATATTTCTTCGAATTTCGAACTCTTTCCTGTTGGTTCAGCCCGTTCAATTTTCAGCTGCGATATGATCTGCGCTCTTTCCCCCCCCCCCCTCACCGGCATCCCGACTCTAAATCCCTTCTGAAAAAAGGACAACTCAGGCTCGGTTTTTCCGAAAGCCCCCGCCCCGCTACGACAAAGGGCCGTTAATTTCCATGTCAGTGCACTGACACCCAAAAATGGAAAAACCAAGCGTGGAACAGGCGTTGATCGCCCGGGTGTGGGTTTTTGGAGGGTCAAAAAAATTGTGAAAGACCTACCCGACATCGAGCTGCTGGGAAACCGTCTTTTCCACTTCCGTGTAAAAGCACTGGACGTTGTAGGAGCGGTCGACTTTTGTGACGAACATCTAGAAAATTACGGTTTAAACTTGCTTGGGCTTAATCGGGGTTCGGCCTGACTCAAAATTTGCATACCGGGTGGAAGGAGATGATGATCGTCACCGAAAGGAACAGACCACGTGGTTGACTCTGAAAATAAAGCATAAAGCAAATTTTCTTCATCAGCGAGGAGTCCCTTCTGAGCCCTGCATATGCATACACCTTTAATCGACTCAACCCTCGCATTTGGGCCAATCGCCACTTTTCCCCGCGACCATACTACTGGCGGAAAGGACGGTGGTGTGCAGTGGTCGTTGGCTAATTCGCCACACGATGAGTTATGGGGTCGAGAATCGGCGGGCTTTGTCCGAGTCGTAATGTGCCGGAATGGCCATAGTCGGATTGTCAGAAACGGTCTTCTCCGGACACTTGGCCTAATTTGCAAACCATGACGGCCAGTTTGGCCCGGTTTCGATTGTTAATGGGCTAGGGAATTGCGTTGACAAATTTAGAAAATCGTCAAGGTTTTTGCATAGCGTGTTAACAAACCAGAATCCGTTTTCTGTTTTCGGCTTGCTCCAAATTTCATTGCGTAATTCGGCAAGTTTAATACGTGTTTAGCCGGAAAATTCACCGATCGTTGCCTCCTAACATCACAGCTGGAGTAAGGTACGGTAAAATTGACGCTATCCTCGAGTGTGGCGTCTTTTCTGCATGCTTGATCGTCGTAATGGCCCTAGATTTTTATTCTGGTTTTATTTCGAAGCTATACCTTAACATAAACATGACCTTCGAATTCTTTTTGTGTTAGAAACCTGACGTTGACACCATCTTGGCTGCATTCGACGATTGGATCTTCTGAAAAAGCTCATATGCGAGTGCTTGGTATGCAAATTTGACCAAAATCGCGTTTTCTTAAAAATGGACAAGCTTCAACGGTGCCTCGTTTTAAATAAAATATTTTTATATGCTCAATTGGTTACTTTCCGTTTATTTTCCAGCCCGTATCCTATTGCAATTCAACTACTCGACCCCAAAAACAAGGCGTTGTTTCCAATTTCGGCCCTCCTTTCTTTTACTCCATTTTTCCGGGCGTCGCACCCGCTGCGAAATTGGATTAGAAATGCGATGTGGAGGGTCGGGTTAGAGATGCGGAAGAGATAGAAAATTTTTGGCGAGTTGGAATCGTGTCCGGGATCAAGTTTTGAGGAGACGGGAAACTTTAAAAAGTTCTATTGAGCCTAAAATTCATGATTTTTATTTCAAAACTGTCACATTTTCTGGCAACCTTTAGAAAATTTAATTTAGTGCGGTTTATGCGAGCCAAGAAATGTTTATTTTTTTTAGCAATTTCCTAGAGCACGGTTCTGGTTTAGAAAAAGACATGCTGGCAGAGATTCTTAGAACGAGGCAAGCTAGAGAAAATTTAGGGCAGTTAGTCAACAAGCAGCGACCCTAAAATGGCAACCTAGCAGAGATTCTTGAGGATTTAAATTTTGCTCTTGGCCCCTAGATTCAAGTTTCGCACTTGACCTTCCCCAATTACTCGTTCGCTTTCACTCCTATCCACAAATTGTACTACAGTTCCATCTTTCACCAGACCAGTGAAATTGGCCTCGACCCGGATAACTTTCCCCATTCCCTCCCGCTTGGTTGTACAATTCCAAAGGCGAGAGAGCGAGAGAGAGAGAGAGGGAGAGAGAGAGAGAGCGGGATCTGTTCCCGAATGGTTATATTGTTGCTGTGGAATGTATATTCTCATTCATTCGGGACAACCAACGGCTCCCTACCAATCCATCGATATGTAGGGCAGTGGTGTGTGAGCTGGACACAATATGCCCTCCTGGGGGCATATAAGCACTTTCAGCCCATTGTGCTCTCGAGCGGCGCGCGCATGCAAATGAAGCCGCCGAAGCTAGGGAATTGAATGACCGCTACTGGGTTACGATTCGGGATATTGTAATTCAGAACGGGATGGTCTTTTCAGGTTTCGAAAAATGTCCAAAAATGGAAAAATCCATCCTTAAGAGGCATAAATTTGGAAAATACGAGGTCTAGAAGCAAAATTAAAATGAAGGAAGTGGATTTACTTTGGGTAGATCTAAATCTACGGTATTTCTTGGCGAAACCTGTAGAATTTAACGCTAAAAACCGCACACAAACGATTTTTGGAAAAATTAGGCTACAATCTGTGAAATTAAAGATCTACGATAACCAATTACGATACCTTAATATCAAATTTACTGCAGTTTGAGCCCGAAGACTACAAATTCCAATTTTAGCTTTTCGATCTATAGATTTTACTATTTTTGCTGAACCCAAAAAAGTACTTTCCACACCTCGCACCCCATAGGGTCAAGTGCGTACAAAAGATGCTCGGTTTTTCATCCCCCAAAGGCATTCTGCCAGCTCCCTAGGGTTGTACCGTATAATTATCGATCTCACCTTTGCTCTCTCTCTCTCTCTCTCTCTCTCTCTCTCTCTCTCTCTCTCTCTCTCTCTCTTTCTTTCGCCCCCAAGAAACTCTCTCCCCCGCCCTGCCATGACCGTTCTTTGTTGTCTAATGGACTAGAGTCCCCCTCTTCCCTCCCAAAAGCGAGAAGGCCTATTCATAATGGAAATTCATAAAGGTATTGCCCAACGGGGTCACGTTGCCTTGGCTTGCCTGGGATACCGTTAATTGGATGGTCAGGAAACGAAAGGAACGAAAGCGAAAAGTGTAAATTTCCTAGTGAGTTCTCTTGTGAAGTCTGGGCGTCTAGCTGTCGGGAGCGGAATGGGAAGATATTTTCGATTATTGGCTTTTAAAAACTTATGAGGACCACGAGCTAAATTCCGGTAACCCTGGAGTACCAGAAAAATGTGAGGATTTAAAATTCGAAGTATAACTTACGTTTTAAGCCATTATCGATTAGATCTGCAGTCGTCACTGCCAGACACAGGAAGGGGATTATCTGAAAAAAACGTCTATTATTCTCGTAGTCCCGCTCTCTCTTAATCAATCGGTTTCGCTCTTTCTCTTTGTTCACTCCCGCCTGCCTATCTCTACCCCACTCTCACTCTACCCCTCTCTCACTCTCTCGCTATCTCGCTCATCTACATCTTTATACAAATTCCTAGCACCCCCGCTCGTCACTCCAATATTTATTCAAATTCAGACCGACATCGGCTGCCCAGCGGCCCTTGACCGGCTGAAGGTCAAAATATTCACAGATTTGGGTCACCGAAGGTCCCATGTCCTTCGCGGCGGATGAGCACACGTTTTCGACTTTGGGATTGGATATATGGGGGTGTAACAGTGAATTATTTGCATGTAGAATGCCCAGATCGGGGTGCTCGACCTCGAGGAAAGCTAATTTATGGCTGACTCATGGCCAGGGAAGTTTTGGAAAAACTGAGTGTAAAGGGTTGCAATTCGTACTATCGGGTTTCGAAACAGAAAAATGAAATTTTACGGAAATTTAATGGAAATATACGTTACATGGAATACAAAATTGACTGGAATTTTTTCATATTTGAGCTATCCATCAATTTCGAAACCAAACGCATGACAATTTTTCAAAACTTTCGTCGTTCGAAATTCACCCCATTCTCCCCAAAGTGACTAATCAGGCCCTCCTAAATGCCACAGAATTTCTTGCCCCAAACAAAAACATTTCTACGACCACTTGAGCGCCGCCCCGGTTTACGGCCGCGCTACGCGCCTGGGCACTTTTCGGCGCGTAAAAACAAGCACAGGAATTTTGCGCGAAACCAGTTGAGCGGCTGTTAAATTTTTCCCGGTTGGACATACCGTTAGTGATGTAAAACTACGTAATGATGCCATTTCGCCGCGTCTCCCTCGTCTGTGTTGGCCGCTACGGTGGAAAAGCGGTGGTTTGGGCCCTGAAATGTCAAAAATCTGTTAGATAAAAGTTTTACAGTAATTTTTAGGTCAAAAATATTGAGAAAAACCAGGAAAATACGTTAGAAAACAAACTGACCCTGAATAAAAAAAATTTAGCGTTTAAGTAGAGCCCTAATCAAGCAGTCCCTCGAGAATATTACGTATCGCGCTAATTCTTCCAAAAATGTCCTTTAATGCCAAAAAAATTCTCAAAAAATTACAAATCAGTAAATTCCAGATCTAGGATACATAAAAACATCTTCCAAAGATGCAACGAAAATGGAAACGGAATTTCCGGATTAGAAAAAGTATTTCGGAACCGGAACCGGAAGTGGGAAACTTATTTTTGGAACGAAATTGCCGTTCCAAGCAGGCAAAATAGAGAATTCTTTTATCATGCGTACATCCCTCTGAAAGAAAACCTATTGCTAACCATATCCACTCAACTGAACGGATGAAAAACCCATCAGCTAAACCGCTCAAAAACAAATTGAGAACGTCGGCAAGGCGATTCCGGGGTTAATGGCCGTACGCGGCATGTGATTGCACGGTAGGTGATGAAGATTGGCACGGCGAATCCGTGAAATCGAGAGATATCCCCCTCGGTTAGGGGAAAACAAGACGAACAGCCCATTCCTCCCGGTTGCCGCGCGGTCCGTAATGTTTTTTCAGCTGATTGGGAATCGGTTGAGGGGTGATTGGTTGGGATGGGTTTTCGGTGAGTAATTTTTGGCATTAAATTTCAACATTTCGCAAAGTCAGAGAGGAAAAAATGGCTTCAATCTTCTAATTCTTTGATAATTCCTGTGTACGACTTTGTTAGCTAAAAAGCGCTCCCTTCGGAATCCTAATTTTCCGAATCCGCCAGAAAACAAATTTGTTGTCGTCACAAAATTTACGTGCAAAAATTTCGAATTTTGACGTGAATTCAATGTTTTAGACGGCGTTAGGGCCGCTATTAAGTTGTATCAAGAAAGGTAGCGTCCGAGAGAGAGTGTCAAAAAATCAAGAGAGAGAGAGGGACTGAGAGAGGGAGAATGAGAGAAAGAGCGAGAAGAGAGAGAGGATGAGAGAGAAAAGTCTGATATAGAGAATGGAACATGCAGCAAAATCATGCACGGATTTAGCGTTCAAGCCATTCAAGCCAAAAGCGATTTTGAAAAATCAAGGCATGGGAAAAGAAGTGTGTTGTGTGCAGGCCTCGACCCCGGAGGCTAGCGGCCACCTGATGGTCTTTCTTTCGTGGTAGCGTGGTGGATAATTCGTGGGTCATTGGGGCACGCACGTGGGGACACCGACACACACATACCGGTGCTGCTTATTGCCCCCTTGGCCCTGCGAAGAGATGCCCAAAAAGGAGCCGATCGCCAGCTGGACACGGTTGGGACTGTCATTGGGGGGTGGGTAAAAGCAAGTCTTAGCCTAATCCTACGCCTAGATACCTCAGAAAGACCTAATTACCTAACGGAACTAGACTCAACCCTCAAAAATCGTTCCAAAACTTCAATCAAGGATTTTCGCAGATACTCCACCCGATCGAGCGGTAAAATGGTATCTCCAGGGGGAAGTGGTCATAGTAGGGTAATTTGAGATGATCCGAGGGCATTTGGAGCGACGAACTCTCGAATACAACCATACTGGGAAGGGGTGAGGAGGAAGAGATCCTCCTCCTCCCCTGGTTACTGCCTAGCCCTATCCCCTCAACACTACGCAAGGCTCCGCCCACTGAGGCTCCCGCAATACCAGTCACCTTTACTAGGAAACGGTGAGGAACGGGAATTAAGCTCCGAGAAGAGATTAGGCTTGTGCTTAGGAATGTACTTATATTTAGGAAGCTTCGATTATGCTTAGGCCTAGGCTTGAGAGACTTGTGCTTAGGTTCCTGATAGGCTTCGGCTTAGGCTTAGGTTTCAAAGTCGAAGTACACCGGCATTTTTTTTAAGAGAAAGGAAGAAGAATCCGCTATTACCAGCAATTATTCTTTGATTTCTTCAAGCCATCTTCAACCCTTTGTTCAGCTCCGTCAAGCGCCTCGGCTTCACGGGGTTCAGGTCTTGACTAGATCGCAAGAACCGTATTTAGTGCATGCAAGATCAAACGATGATCTATCAGCATAAAACCTTTATACCGGATAACACTGATCGAAGGTGGAAAAATAGGGACTAAATTTTATGCTGGCTGGCTCTGATTACGCATCAAAAATAGCCAAGCCCTAAACCCGCCAGGACTTCCTGCCTACTATACAAAAACCCACAAGCCCCGGCCACTTTTTTCAGGGTCATTCCCCGCGCGTACCACACTTCGCCGCGCGCGCTAGGAATTCCTTGTCCAAATCGAGGCCAAAACTTGATGGGCTGTAAAATCGACCAGGAGAAGGGTGGAGGTGGGCTAGGGAAAGGTAGTAGTAGTAGGGGCACGAGCCACGACCCATGAGCCCTGGACTGCCGTGGACTCGATGGTCGATTTGACTTTTTGGAAGTGGTGTGGCTCTACGCCGGTGCGCGCAAAAATCCGTGTCAATTGCCCCGGCGCCGCACGAAGAGAACGCGTGCGCGCCGGGGGCCAAGGCGTTCGACTCGGGAGGAGGGGAGGGACAAAAACACAGCTCAATTGCGGTGCGGGATTATCCCCGGGGGCAATCCTGACTCAGCGTCAATTATTGCGAGTTTTGACGTGTTTTTTCGTGATATGTTGGGGCTGGAAGTAGGTCCCGGTCTGAATAGCGGGTTGCTTAAAATTCTGATTCTCGAAAGGTCAAATCTTTGACTCGGTTTCTCACTCACTCGCTCTATCTCTCTTTCTCTCTCGCTCTCATTCTCGCTTATTTCCTCTCTTCCACACTCTATTTCTCCATCCTGTCGCTCTCCGGCACTCGCTGTCGCTCTCTCTCTCTCTCTCTCTCTCTCTCTCTCTCCGTCTATCTGTCTCTTTAGTTTACGCTCTCTCGTTCGCTCGTCGTGACCTGCTTCTGACGCCCACGAAATTCTTTATCGACCCAATTATGTCAGTCATCTTACAAACACGAAAGAACGGTAGCATAGAGGTGAGGTAGAGATACCGGCGAAATTTCAAAATCATCGAAAGCACAAGCTTAGTATAGACATTTTTCTAATTCAAGAATTTCCAATCATTCCTCCATGGCTGCCGTGGTTTCCTCATCACCATCATCAGTCACTTCTAAAAATTTCCATAAATTTTTTGAAACGACCTTCTAACCGTCTGTCTCCTCAGTGGTCTCTGCTTCCGTCGACGTTTCCACTTCCTCAGATCCAGAAGCTTCTACATCATCTTCTGAGGGTTCTTGAGTCTCCTCTGTTTCTTCTTCCGTTTCATCAGTGGTCACCACTTCCAGGCATCCGCCGGAAGTGGGTCCTGACTAGGGAATGTTTTCGGGCGGACATCGGACCCAGATATATGAGTATGTGCATCTTGTAGAGCTCGACGAGACGAATCGATTGATGTAACTTTTAGCTGCTGATACCTTATGTTAACAAAGTTACAACGGTTTAAAATTTTTGGCCATACCTTCATAGGCTCTCCCCACACCCCGACCACCGTGTCCTGGTGGCCTAGTGGCTTAGTAGTCTGCGTCTGAAGACGGTAACGAGGGTACGGATCCGCTCACGATTTTTATTTTTTGCTTTTTGGTCGAGAGCTTCCTTTTTGCACCCCGATGGCCCACAAACACTTATTTCAAATTTTTTTACCTGCCGGACGGTTTCGCAATCATATTCCCAATCAATAAGCATAAGGGGAACACAGATAATTTTTCGAGCTGAAGTCATCAACATTGGTTGTACTTGCAAGAACAAAAATCCAATGAATACTGTCACCAAATTTGGTGTAAGTCCTGGAGATAAAAAAAACTTTGAAATAAGTGCTTGTAGGCCATCGGGGTGCAAAAAGGAAGCTCTCGACCAAAAAGCAAAAAATAAAAATCGTGAGCGGATTCGTACCCTCGTTACCGTCTTCAGACGCAGACTACTAAGCCACTAAGCCACCAGGACACGGTGGTCGGGTGTGGGGAGAGCCTATGAAGGTATGGCCAAAAATTTTGAACCGTTGTAACTTTGTTAAAATAAGGTATCAGCAGCTAAAAGTTACATCAATCGATTCGTCTCGTCGAGCTCTACAAGATGCACATACTCATATATCAGGGCCCGATGTCCGCCCGAAAACATTCCCTAGTGAGGTGCTTTCTGTTCCCTCAGAAAGTTCACCGTCAGTGGTTGTCGTGTCTTCTGAAATCGTTGTCGTCTCAGTAGTGTCGGGTTCTGCCGTCGTGAACTGATCACGGTAATGGTATTTCCTGCCAAAGAAATCTATTTCGTGATGATGCGGTTGATTTTTGAGAAGTTACCTCTTAGGAAGTCAAGGATGCCACGGCTGTCGCGGTTCATTTGGTCGTCAGTGTCGCTGCCGCAATCGGCCTGGAAAACGGGCTTTAAGCGTAAAATTAAGGATAAAAATTGTCTGAATTTTTGGAAGGAATCACCCCTTAAAGGAACCGGCAAACCTTTTTTAGCTACTCATGAATGAATACAATATATCCACGCGGCGAAGCTTACGGTATATTCCGCAATTGCGCGTTTTCCACGAATGGTCCAGTCCTTGCTGTCAAATTTAAACCACGGTGTTTTGGTGGCCCTTTCGTTTTCGGCCGGTTCCGTCGGCTCGTCGCTAGTCTAAGGATACCAAGTTATTAAAAACATCTGGCTAGTCTATAGTTGAAGCGACGAGAGAGAAAGAGAGAGAGAGAGAGAGAGAGAGAGAGCAAGGGACAGAGAGGGAAAGAGGGAGAGAGAGAGAGACGGTGTGAGAGATAAGGATATTTAGGAATTAAGGAAAATATTAGATAGCTTTTGCTCTAAAATTTACTCTATCGTCTTCAATCTCTCGTGTTTCCCGGCCCTCCATCCATGGATTGGTGCGATCAAAAGTGGCCAGCGGCTTTTCGGTGCTTTCATCAGAACCCGTCGACTCGTCGCTGATCTAAAGTGGCTCAAACCGTTTTGAGAAAAAGATTCAGGTGAGAATATTGCCAACAATTGGCTGACTTGCCGTGGTATTACGACAAAACCTACCGTATCTTCAGCAATTGCACGTTTTGCTCGACTCAGCATCCAGTCATTCCGATCGAATTTATGCCAGGGCCTCATCGTGTTTTCATCATATCCGATGCTATCTCCACCCATAAGCTCGTCACTCGTTGAGTCCCTTAAAAACCGTACCGTATACCGTCTGCCAGCAATAAATTAAGATATTTATCCATCAAACCAAACCGTTACTTGATGTGGGCCCAAACTCATTTCCCCCATCAACGAAACACAAAATCAACCTGCATTTTTTACTAGACTGAGATCGAGACGCGCCGTGTGTGGGTAGCTGGTACAATATATGCAAAGGACCCGGGCGGACACATCCAGACACACATCAGCTATTGCTTTTGGGGGCTCTATAAAACCTGGGCCCCGGGTTCTTGAGCCAGACAGCCCCCAACTAGCTCTCGCTTCACCCCGCCCTTTAAGAAGCATGTTGAAGACCGCCGTTATCGCTTGTGGACTGCTTGCCGTCGTCGCGGCTTTGTAAGGATTTTTAACAGCAAGTAGCTATCCGTTTCGCCAACACAAAGCGGTTTGGGTTAATCTTTTTGTTCAGCTCCACCCCGCTCTCGATGAACGGACAAAACGGGCTGTTCGGAGGTCAGCAAAAAGGACAGAACGGCCAGAACGGGCAGTTCGGAGGCCAGGGCCAGCAGGGCCAGCAAGGCCAGCAGAACGGCAACGGACAATTCGGAGGACAAGGTAGGTCGGCTTCAATTCTCAGCAAGCTGGCCGATGAATATCATCACCAGCGTTTCCAGGCTCCCCGGCTCCGTTCGGCAACCAAAACGGACAGCAAAACGGACAGTTTGGAGGCCATCAGGGACAGCAGGGTCAGCAAGGCCAGCAGAACGGCAACGGACAGTTCGGTGGACCAGGTGAGAGAGAGAGAAATGGAGAGAAAGTAACGATATATAATTCCGTTTTTTTTAGGTGGCTTCACCACTCCTTCCGGAAACCAGAACCGCCAGCAGAACGGACAGTTCGGAGGACAGGGACCGCAGGGTCTGCAGGGCCAGCAACGGGGATTCAACGGCCAGGCTTTCGGCCAGTAAAGCAACTTTTTTCTCCAAGTTCATAAATTGATTTTTGAATGGGATGAAATAAAGGTGTATGAAAACAGCCTCCCAAAAAGTAAATTCTGCTACAAAAGACATCAAGCCAAAATCACAAACCGGTTTTTATCTATTTCAGCAAAAGCACCCTTGGCATGATTAAATATAAGTTGTTAAAAAGAGTCGCTATTGCCCCCAGGCGGGATTGAACCACCGACCTTTGGTTTACAAGACCAACGCTCTACCACTGAGCTATAAGGGCAGGTGGAAGAGGGGGAGGGGAAAGGGCTTTTGTATGAACAGCCGAGATCCACACACTAATCGGAAGCTAATGGATCAATATGGGTGGGAAGGGGCAAGAGGCCTCCTCATCATCCCCACCCCATCGCCCGTTTAGCTCAGTGGCAGAGCGTCTGTCTCGTAAACAGAAGGTCCACGGTTCAATCCCGTGAGTGGGCAATCCTTTTTGTTTTTTGGGCCAAAATTCGGAACGTTATACGAAGCATTTGCCAAGCCGAAACGGTAAAATTGTTCTCTCTTTTTGGCAATGGCAAAATCAATTTTAGCGCCCGAATGAATTTTCTCTAGTGTCACCCTAAACCTCGGCAGCCTAACGTCCAGAATAAGTACAACGCCCGTACAATTGTATTTAGGGGCTACTCGTAATGTTATCACCAGCATCGAAATTCACGAATTTCACGGGAGAACCCAATGTTTGCGCGTAACCTTCAATAACTGGTGTATGCTCAGCCGTCATCGGAGGACGACCCGGAAAATAACAAAGGTTAATTTATGCAAAATCGCTACAACGAGCACTTCATACATCGGGCGTGGCTGGCTATATAAAAGTAGGACAAATTGAGAGAGAGTGAGTACAGTTAAATTTGACTGGGACGCTTTACTCCTAGCTAAATTCGAAAATGCTGAAGATCGTCTGCATGGCTGGCTTGGTGGTGGGATCGGTGGCTTTGTAAGTTCTGTCTGTAAGGTCTCGAACACTAATTTCTATGAACAAAACTGGCTTAGATACTTGTAAAAAGTGGTACCTTATATCAGGAAACACTTCCAAACCTTTCCTCCAAAAGGCAAAAGGGATTGCCCACTCACGGGATTGAACCGTGGACCTTCTGTTTACGAGACAGACGCTCTGCCACTGAGCGAAACGGGCGATGGGGTGGGGATGATGAGGAGGCCTCTTCCCCCTTCCCACCCATATTGATTCATTAGCTTCCGATTAGTGTGTGGATCTCGGCTGTTCATACAAAAGCCCTTTCCCCTCACCCTCTTCCACCTGCCCTTATAGCTCAGTGGTAGAGCGTTGGTCTTGTAAACCAAAGGTCGGTGGTTCAATCCCGCCTGGGGGCAATAGCGACTCTTTTTAACAACTTATATTTAATCATGCCAACGCTGCTTTTGCTGAAATAGATAAAAAACGGTTTGCGATTTTGGCTTGATGTCTTTTGTAGCAGAATTTACTTTTTGGGAGGCTGTTTTCACAGCTTTTATGGCTTAATGCATCCGGTCAAAACTCAATTTATGAATTTGGAGAGAAAATGTTGCTTTACTGGCCGAAACCCTGACCGTCGAAGCCCTGTTGAGATTTTGCCATTGACAAACACAAAAATTTCACCGTTTCGATATGGCAAATGCTTTGTATAATGTCCCGAATCTTTACCCCAAAAAACAAAAAGAATTGCCCACTCACGGGATTGAACCGTGGACCTTCTGTTTACGAGACAGACGCTCTGCCACTGAGCTAAACGGGCGCTGGGGACGAGGGGCGGGGAGGGGCTCTTACAGCTTTCCGGAATCACCGGCCTTGACCCGGAAGCTGGCGTTTGTGCAAATACTGGCAAGCTGGGATGGGTTTTTGCATTCAAATTTGTTTTTGAGTCTGGTCACAAACTACAGAATTTTAAGCTAACAGGGTACACGAAAATTGCTATTTATTTGAGTTTTCTCTCGTTTTCTCTGTTTTTATAGATTCGTTCTGAGCGCGGAAGGCAAAACGATTGAATGTTTTGATCTGTGGTATCATTTCCATTTTGCAACAAACTACAAATAAGAACAAATAATCCCGTAGCAAATTCTGCGCTTTTTACTCATTGTGCGGTTTCTTGGTTTTGTGCATTTTCATCCAAGAAAAGGTATATTTCTCATTTTTATTATGATCCACTTGTACACACAATAATCAACGGCGAACAATTAGTTGATCTCGTGGCTGCCGCACTACGACGGACTCCTTTTTACACACAAAAACATATATTGAAAGGGCAACCGAGAAAATCGTGGAAATCGACCCGAATCGTTCAAAATGGGGGACGGGGGCAACTTTTAGAAAACGCAAAAAATCCAGTAAAAATCGGGTAATTAGGTAATTAGCACAAGCTTTTTTGCACCGAGTGGGGGTGAGAAAACGGTTGTAAAAATCGTCTCAAAAACAATTAAAATTTGAGGGAGGCAAATTTTCGAGATCTGTCACCAGAGGGCGGGCCGCTGAAAGAGTACGAAGAAAATATACAGTAATTTTGATCTGAGTGGAGTTCTGGGGAAGTTCGGAATTTTGCAAAAATGACAAATATAACTTTTTTTGTACACACAAATAAAGATTGGGGGGGGCTGACTAGCATTGATTTGGGAGGAAGGGGAATTGCCATCACGTCGGGGCGCTGCACACGGGTTTCAAAAATGGTACAAAAAACCACAAAATGACGAATACAGCCGGAAAAAGCGAGAAAACCATAGAATCGTTTGCATGGTGCATGGAACCCTGTAAATTCGCAGACACAGAAAAATAATGGCCGGGCGGTGGAGAATCGGAAAAACAGGTGGAGGATTTTCTGGGGGAATGCAGCAGTTTTAAAGGGAACAGCAAGTCTAGCAGATACTGAACTAGTAGGGATTACTGTACTGGGGCGAAACTGGGTACGGTAGCGGGTGGAATACGATCCAAACTACAACATAATAGCTTTGATGCAATTAAAGGCACTGTAAGCTTGTCAAAAATCGAATTTCTACTGCTTAGGCTTAGGCCTGGTTTCCTTTTAGCTTACAGTCTCCTCAGAACCCCTCATTGCATATTCCTGGCCTGGGCCAACGACTGGGCTAGAAGCGGATGGAACGCCTCCTGACTCGGAAAGTACAAGGGCAGGCTAGCATGGGAAATTGAGGGAAAATCGTCAATTTCGGGCTCGTCCTCGTCCGAAACGTCTCCAGAAGGGCCGGACCAGCTGCCATTTGGGCTGTCGTGGTTCCAGCCGCGGGCGTTTGGGCCGAATTTGTAGACTAGTCGTCGGCCGGAGACCGGAAGTAGGATTTTCGTGTTGTAGTAGTATCTGGAAATTAAGGATTTATACAATTTTTTTTACGTTTTGTAGACCTTAGCTTATACTCCGGCTTGAGCTAGTCATTTCCCCTAGAAAAACTCATAAAACCGCCCATTTTCCCCCTACATTAAACTCCTAGCAACGCTCATGAAACACAATCCCTTCCCGCTTCCCCCTCGCCTGGAAAACTCTACGAAAGTTTCCGCCCCGCCGATCTTTGAGACATTTTTTTTGGCGAAGCGGCGAGTTATGCCTAGGGCTTGGCCGCAGGGGTGGGGAAAAATGGCGGAAGTCGGATGCCGGGGTGGGCGTTTGGAAAAGTAGTTGCATTCTTCGGATACCTCGGAGAAGGGTGATCTTTGAGTTTCTAGAGACCCCCGGAATTTGCAGTCGGCCAGAAAATTGGTTTTAAAGGGGTGGTGAAGGCAAAAAAGTATTTTTTAATGAATTTTGGATACTTTAATTTTTTAAACCCCCATCAACCGATAGCAATCAGATAGCAACATGCTTCGAAATAAGTCCATTTTACGGTTTTTGCTCGTTAACTTTTGACATGTTAGCCCATACCGAGGGTTCCAGTTGGTAGATGATCAGGGCGGTGAAGTCTAAGTCGTTCAGGCCATCACCGCCGTCGACTTGCACCATCCCTGTGCTCCCGGGCCGAACTTGTAGACGAGCTTCTTCGGGTAGAGCCCCGTCTTGGGCACGGGCACCAGGATTTGCTTGTCGTAGTACGTTCTGAAATTCACGGCCCTCCACATGCACCGGTAAATTTTTGTTTTGGGTGTAAATTCTGGGTTTCAGGAGGTTTTTGAAGGAGTTCAAGGGTTCGGATAGTATATGCTCAAGCAGAGGTTGTTAGATGGAAATTAGAGTAGAATTTCGTGGAAGGCCACTCACCTCATGGCTCTCGACAGCTTCTCGTACGTCATCTTGGTGTTGTTTTTCCGTTCGCCCCAGAGTCGGGCGAGTTTTTCGGATTCGACGATTCGGAAGACGCCCTCGTTCGGGTCTTCCCATCTGAAAATGGATGGGGTAAAGAGGAGTTTGGCCTGGTATAGAGAGCATTTTAATGCCGTAATCGTTTACTTATGAAATTTCGGATTTTTGATCGGATAATTCGCGTTTTTTTGCGGCACTTTCTTGTCCTGATTTCTGACTTCCAGCTTTCCAGCGGCTCCCCGTCACATCGAATATGACTCTCCCCAAGGCGGTAATTCTATCCCCGACTTTTTAGCCTCCCCAAGCAACAAGGAGCACGGAGTAGGGGAGTCTGATCGTCGGTCGGCTCCCCCAAGCTACCCCATTTCCTCATTTCATTCCCCTTCCACAGCACTCCACCGAACAGAGATCTTAGAGGGGAGGAGGAAAATCCGTGTAGTAGCCGCCAGGGCCCTTCCGAAAAAGCCGTTTCCTCCTCCCCCCTCCGATTCCGGGGCCCAATTCATGATTACGGGCCATCGTTTCGGACCTGACAACGGCTGGGGGGAGGTCGTTCTTAGCCTGGAAAGCTGGCCCTCCCAGAGTTCCGCCCGGATGTGAGGTGCTGTGTAATAAAAAAATTAGTCGCCCGCTGCTGCCCGGAAATGTGCTTGCCCCGGAAATTCTGCGCCCGGGGGTGATAAGAAAAATGTTGAGCGGAAGTGCATTTTTTGCACCGAGGAGCGTCATTGGTTTCTGGCCGTGGCTTATGAAATTTTGGATTTTATAAGGAAATGCTAAAAAGCATCAACTTTTCCATAGTTTCAAGGTGTAAAAATAACCAAATTTACCAAGTTACCAAGTTTTTGAGCTGTTTTTTTAAATGTCGCCTATCTCAAGTGTTTTGCAATGTTTAGCCGATCACTTGCGCACCCAAAACTGCCTCAAAAACACGCAAAAACATCCGATTTTTTTTGAAAAATGTGTCACATCTGATCGACTAACCGATCCCCAAAATCAAGACCTTAATCCCCCCCCGGGAGGTCAATGTTTTTTTCCGAAATTTCCCTAAGAACAATCCCCCGAATCTAGCGTTGCACGGCTTCACAAAACTCAGGCATCAAGCTCGGATCTACGCTTTGGAACATTTAAGTTTTTTAGTAGCACTCAGGTTTTTGGTGGCCTGAAAATTGGGAGAAGCCCAATCCGGGGTGAGGTCCCCAATTTCCGGCAATTGCCCGGAAATCCACGGGCTTGTGAAGGGCCTCGTCCTTCCCGTCGGGGCGGCTAATAGGGTTTTTGCTCATTTCGGAGGGCCAGAGCTCTATTGAAGAAAAAAAGAGAGAAAGAGAGAGAGAAAAAGAGAGGGAGAGAGACGGCCAGACCCCTCCCTTTCCAAAATGTGTTAAAAGGCCATCCGCGAGTCACTCGAACAGCTCCTATTATAGCTTGGCACAGTTTTTTTTCGACCCCTATTTTTTGATGCCATCTGATAGAGCATGGTCGAATTAGAGGAATCGCACTAATTTGGGATTTTTAAATTATCATTTTCCTGGTTAAACAAGGCGTTAAAGTTGCCAACGTCGAAAATTTATCTCGACGTCTACTTGACAAAATTGCCTGATAATTTGTGACTAGGCCTAATTTGGGATGGGGATCATTTTTCTAATACATCGCGAAGCACGAAAATTAGCAGAACCTGGTTAAATTGCATACCCAAAATAGTTTTTGCCTAATTTCAAATTAACGGCGAGTCGGCCGCAAGCTGGAATTAGGCTAGAAAGATGCGCAAAATTTTTCTGCATCGATTGATGTATCATTTAACCGGCGGCTAGGTCGCCGTTTTCTCACAGCGAGCTTTTTGTAGCTGAAAAATGGTCTAAAATCTGACCAAAATGGAAAATTTTGTGATTTTCTATGTTTTGACCCACGGGATCACATTTAACGATCACGCCAAGCTAAACGCAAAAATTAGCAAAAAGAAATTCGACATTTGAAGGGGTGCTTGTTTCGGGCGGGGATCGAACCCGGACCCTCCGCCTGGGAGCCCCGTGGCGCAATGAGTAGAGCGTCGGCGTGCCAATCCAGAGCCGCCGCCAGTTCAATCCCAGCCCCCTCTCAAAAGCCGAATTTCTTTACTCTTTTTTGCAATCGACTTGGCATGATTTCTTGATGCGCTTTGACTACTCCGCTAACTAAATACCACAAAATTTTCCATTTTGGTCAGATTTTTAGACTATTTTCAGCTACAAAAAGCTCGCCGTGAGAAAACGGCGACCTATCCGCCGCTTAAATGATACATCAATCGATGCAGAAAAATTTTGCGCATCTTTCTAGCCTAATTCCAGCTTGCGGCCAACTCGCCGTTAATTTGAAATTAGGCAAAAACTATTTTGGGTATGCAATTTAACCAGGTTCTGCTAATTTTCGTGCTTTGCGATGTATTAGAAAAATGATCCCCATCCCAAATTAGGCCTAGTCACAAATTATCAGGCAATTCTGTCAAGTAGACGTCGAGATAAATTTTCGACGTTGGCAACTTTAACGCCTTGTTTAACCAGGAAAATGATAATTTAAAAATCCCAAATTAGTGCGATTCCTCTAATTCGACCATGCTCTATCAGATGGCATCAAAAAATAGGGGTCGAAAAAAACTGTGCCAAGCCTTGTTCGCGTCTCTCGCAAACGGCCTTTTAAGCGCTGAATAATGCTAGTGGCACATGGGGAGGGGGGAGTTCCCTGGTGATCAAAAAACAGCTGCCCGGATGGCTGTGTTTCAAAGCCGCCAAGTTAGCTAATTAAGGAACTAGCACGTCATTTTTGTCTAGCGACCAAACTACCGTATCCAATAAATACCCACCGGACTACCGAGGGGCAGGTGGCCGGGTCCTTGAGGGCGTCCCGGATGAACTCCCACAACTTGTTGCCCTTGGCGTGCTGGGAGCGTTTTCGGATCTTGCCGTCCAGGGTTTGGCGCATCTTGTTGAGGCCATTTTTGGTTTCGGTTTCTAAAAAATACGGTAAAATTTGTCACAGAAATTGGCCAACGTCATCGCCAAGTTCAGATCCAACCCTAAACTGAGCAGACTCGTAAAGCTCACCAGAATCATATCCAACACTTGTCGAGGGCCCTTGCTGGAAGCACGGCAAATAGTCCCCAGAAATCGAATTCCTTCGTTGCAACGTGTTGACCAACAACGGCGACGACGCCAAGTTGTTCAGGTTCAACCCAGTTGGGTTCAGCGCCGCGCACAAGTTGTTCGTCAGCTGTTGCCGGATGTTGTTGGCCAGGGTCTGGGTGAGTTGTTGCTGGGCGGCGAACAGGGAGTTCATTCTGAAGAACAAGAAATTATAACCGTAATCATTTTCAATTTCATTCAAATCCTTTCAAAATAAGCCAAAAACTCACTCATGCTGTCGCTGCAACTGCTGCTGAAGTTGCATCGTCGTGTCCATCGGGCTGGGCTTGGTCTCTTCGAAGTCTTTGTACTTCCTGAGGACGTCGTCAAGGATATTGTCCTCTGGGATGGTGACGTTCAAAAGTCGGGCCATCTCGCGGTAGAACAGCTTGCCGTAGTTGGGGTCGCACTCGGTGAAGTCGTTCTCGTTCATTTTCAGGAGCTGCGAGCCGGTCAGGGTGGCGAACTGAAATTTAGGAAATTTATAAGTGGTTCACGGTAAAGAGGCATTAAGGGGAGGCGGGGCAGCCACGAAAGCCTTTAGAAATCAAAAACCACGCCGAATTCCATACCTGAATCATGTGGGATCCCGGATTAAGCCTCTACTAGGAAACGGCCCGGGGGATAGTAAGAGATTTGCGAGTGGTGAGCCCTTCCGGGACTCCGAGAGTAAGTGAGCGAAAGAGAGAGAGAGGGAGAGGCGCAAAAGAACAAAAGGGAAAAACCGGGGTGGAACAAAACTGCGAAACCCGGAGTGGGGCACCAGAAACCAGGCCGCCGCCGAGCACATCATGTGCCCCTTAAAACGAGCCCCGTTCTCGTGCTCTCGCCCTCTATCTCTCTCCACGAAATGCGAGCTCTAGCCCCATTTAAAGCCAAAGTTCCGGGGGTGCGGGCGCTGCAGCTAGTTAAGGAAGGTAGGAAGTGATTGGGGGATCAGGTTTTGCCTAGGGCTCTATCTCTCCAGGAAGTTCCGCGGGTGAACTATGAACGCAAGGAAAAGCAGGAAATTACCCGGATCAGGTGGTGCCCTTTGCAAAGTCGTAACGAACTTGCGATGTGATGGAGTTACGCGCGGCACCTCTATACGCGGGATTGGGGGGGAAATTAGCGGGGTGCTCCCCATTTTTCGGGGGAGACGAGCCGGAAACGGCCTGGGGCGGAAGATAACAGCGAGGGCTGGTGATGTTGTGGAAATTGGGATTAGGATTATAAGGGTCTTTTTGAGGTGGGAATAATTGTATAGACGCACCATGCCAGAAGAGAGGCTAGAAAAAGCTTTCGGGTCTAGCAAATGGGCAAACTGGACCGGAAACGGAAAGGGAAAACGTCCACAGCAAGGAATTTTTATGGATTATGAACTCGAGAAAGCCTAAGCTTAAGCCTAAGCCCAAACCTAAGCCTAAGCCTAAACCGTCCAATCGATTTTCGACTGATTTTTAGAAACTAAAAACGGTTAAAGAAGAGGAAAACATCCAAGGAACCAACGAAAAAGACTGGTTTATCAAAAGTCACAAACTCTTATAAGGATCATCGCCCCAAAAAGGTCAAAAACATTTAGCGAAAATATGTGTACTTGACAAGCCAGACCGGGCACAGGCCCCAACTGACTATCCTGACTGGCAGGACAGCTCGAAAAGCGGTGCAAACAACCTGGGGTGGAATCAGCAAAAAAGGTTTTTGATGACGGGGGGAAATGTTCCCCCGACCCGCCGTGCACTTTTCAATAACAAACAGGGCAGACAGGGGGGCTGACTGGCTGGCTGGCTGGCTGCTCTGATCGGTTGGACGCGCCGAAACTATTTACGACAAGGACCAACCGAGCAACAAGAGAGCGCTACCGGGCTTCCAGAGATAATTTGGCTGATATGGATGGACTAGGCAATCCGGGCAGGGTTTAAATTTTCGCGAAAACAATGGATAGAGATCAAATCACTGGGAATTTTGGGGGGGGTGTACGGTAAGAGGATGATGGGATCGCAAAGTACTGTACGGCTCGCTGACCTTGCTCATGTTGATGTCCTCGCACGGGACGCCGAGCCGCTTGCTCGTCTCCAGCATCCACCCGACGACGTCGTCCATCGTCCAGTCGACCGGTTCTCGCACTCTCCAACCGACCAGATCAACCCTGAAGAATTGGCATAATTTGCATAAATCAGGCTTATATCGAAATCCTAAGAACTCTTGGATTTCCAAAATCTATAGACTTTCTTGGCTTCCCGGGCCCTTTAAGTTCAATTTTACTTTTTGTACCCCATACTGTGAGCACCAGGGTGATCATCATCCCCGGGATTACGGTAGATGCGTCACACCCCCATTCGGAAGGTGAAAATGATTTTTGGAACCCAACATCCACCTGGCATCTCACTATTTTCAAGGCTCAATGGTACTCTGGCTTCCCCACCCTTAGATTCCAATGATCGGGGGTGTAGCGTAGCGGAATTTGGAACATTTTCTGCACGGCGTAAACATCGGGATTATCGCGGAACTTTTCGCCGGCCGAAAACCGGAAGAAATCGACCCCCCCAGGAGCGGCGGTATCAGATATCTGAGTGCCACGGATTACATTACACACCTCTGCCCAAAAAGGAGCAACACCCCGGATAATCTACTTGTTTGTTTTGGGCCCCTGGGCCCCCCCTGTGGGTCCTCGGAAAGAGAACTTTGCCCATCTGGGCCCGGGCCCAAAAATGTTCGGCAATTGGCACGTCTTCGTGGCCGGCGTGTTGCCCCTTCATGAGGCGTCCCGGGTATGATGCCGGAATTTTTGAACGGACCACCAGCTGCTGGCGATCAATTTTTGGGGGAGCAGGGCATGCATTTTTAAGGTATTTTGGGGCTAGATTTAGGCAACTAGCGTTGTAGTTTGGATGGATTTTGGGCTAATGAAAAATAAAATATTTAAAAAGCAAAAAAATACAGAGTGTTTGCTTTGTGGTCCGAACTAACAATAGTTTCTTAGTCTTCTACCACACTACCCGTCGGCTATACAGTCTAAGAATCCGAAAATCGATTTTTAACCGTTTTTTGGACTGCGAATCCGAACCCTCGAGATTTTCTTCCTAGCCTATCACACTACCAATCCCCCACAACTCACCGGTTGTCGGTGTTCGGGATCGGCTTGAACGGGGCGGGCATATTCTGCACTCCGTTCAACAGCCCCGGCAGACACATCAGCTGGTTCAACAGCAGGGGCGCCGGCGAGGACGCGGCGGACGTGAGCGCGTTCACCTTAAGAAAATAATGAAACCAAATTAATTGATTCTGAAACACTAATTTTATTTTTGTTTAAAGCTCAATAGCCAATCCCTGATCTTCGACTACCCACGTGGGGTTCTGATTTTAAGTCCAAAAACTCCTGGCCAAGATTGTTGGCCAGGAGTTGTAGGGCCCAAGATCTACTGCCGCAGGTGTTTCCATTGACATTTTCGGACGGCGAAAAAACATATTTAATACTTACGGCGTTCACGAAAGCGGCCGCGCTGGTGACGGCAGGGAATTGGGAGTTGGGGATGACCTGAATCAGGCAGGTGTGATTAACATTGGAATCCTGGTTGTGAACTATATCATAAAAGATTCTGGTCGTGGCGCCCGAAGAGAGAGCGAGAGAGAGCGCTAGAGGAAGAGAGAGTGAGAGTGAGATAGAGAGATCACTGAACTCACCGGATTCGGCGGTAGTGACTGCGGGCTTCCGATAGATTGTGAGAGTAAAAGTGGGGCCAAAGGCGATGGAGCGGTAGAAATCGAAGCTGGCGGGCTGCCCACGTCGAAGAGGCTGGCTGGGTTGGCTTGGCCGCAGACGACTTGGAAAGCTGAGCGGGCGCCGAGGCCTGAAAAGAAGTCTTGAGCGAGGTAATGGCCGTTCGCTTTCGCCTGCCGTTTTGGTAGATTTTCGAAGCGATAGGTAAGCCTAAGCCTATGCCCAACCGCAAAACCTCTCTCACCTGGCAGCAAGGAGTTGAGCGCGCTGGCGTCGAGCGGGCTGGCGGCGCTGCCGAACGTGAATGGGGCCGGTGCCGGTGCGGGGGCGGCAAGTTTCGGCGACTGAAAATAATGAATAATTTTTGCTTCCGGACTCATGTACGGTTTCAGCAATAAATCAGTGATTTTTTGGGGTGTCCCGAATCCAAATACCTCCTTTTACGGGATGACGTGTGCGCGCGCGTTTCTAGGCACGTTGCGAAATTGGGGGTGACAGCTTCTTGAAAGCTGTTCGAAAAGAAGAATAAATGCTTTTTTTGAAACGTAGAAAAAATAATTGTTGCGGGATTTGCACCTGAGAGGCGGAAAGGAGACGTTGGCGGGGTGCCAAACTCATTCCCGGTTAAGCTGCAGCTCAAAATCGTGAAAAATGGCTTAACGCCCTAAGGGCTACGGGCGTAGCGCTTATATCTCGGCTAATGCGCCCTAAACTATCGAAATCCACATTTTTTCTCAACCTTGGCATATTGCCAAGTCCAGCCTAGCGACTAAAAACACGCCCTTTTCTAGTAGATGAACAGTTTAGCAATCGTATAGAACTACGTTAAGTAAGGTATCATCTAGAAGACAGCAAATTCTAGCATGAAATCAATCAATATTTCGTAAAATTCAGCCGGGAGGTCTTCGTGTCTGGAACGGGACCCGGGGGGCGCGCGAGAAGGGGCGAGTCTCGTGCATCGGCTGACAAGCCCGCAGGGGGAAGCCAAGAGAGCGGGAGAATCGAGAGAATCCGAGAAAGAGAGCGAGAGATTCCCTGAATCGGGAGGACCCCGAGAAGCCTGGATGGGGGAGGGCCAAACACAATGCGCCGGGGCAAATAACTGTACGCCCAGGTGGGGAGAGGTGTTTGCGGAGCGTGCGCGGAGAGCCGGAGCCCGCAGCGCTGGTGCTGCACACTATCTAGTGCCCCCCTTTTCTACAGGGAGCCGGCAATTGTGGGAGAGGTTTTTTGAAAAAAAGAGAGAGAGAGAGAGAGAGAGAGAGAGAGAGAGAGAGAGAGGCAGATAAATAACAGGCTCTACTTTTTGGGGTACTCAACTAGACACGGAGCCCCCTAGGCGCTGGAGCGGGTGCAAGGGTCACGCCGGGGAGTTTTTTTTTTGGAGGCTTTCGAGCAGTTCAGATGGAAGTAGATGTTCATGTAGCAAAAGAAAAAGGCGTTTATCCGTTTAACACTTAAAAATATCCAAAAGCTATCCTGGTTACCATAAAATTTGTCAAAAGCCGGAGAATTTTTTGAGTTGCCGGTCCCTTTAAACCGACGACTATTGTCAGAAGATCCTAATTTTTCAACGGAATTCATAGATTTTTAATACTAGATAGATTCTCGTTTTTTTTGCTGAAATTGATCACGCTTAAATCTCGACCCTCTCGAGCCACCTGACCAACTCCAAAATTCCAGCCATCTCCCCGAAAATCCCGCAATTCCCAGCGAACCAATCTCCCGAGGTGCGAGAGCGCTCACACACACACCCACTTCGCGATCAAGCACCTACAAACACACCATCCGGCCAACCAGCCTGTCATCAGCCCCCCTGGGCTTCAACGCGCCTCCCGACCCCACCCTCCGTGTATTTGGCCTCATCATCCATCCAACCTTCCCCCCCCCCTCCGCCAGGAAACCGGAACGTTTGCTTTTCCGTGCGCGCGCGTTTCTCAACGTTGCTCCCGGCGCGGGGGAGCGCGTGCGGAAAGCTGAGATCCAGGCTCACAAACAGTGAGGCGCTTGTGAAGGCTGTCTCGGGGGTTACGGTGAGAAGGCCAAATAGAGGAAACTTCCTCCAGGCGGGGGTCACGTCACGGTTGGAGAGAGAGAGAGAGAGAGGGAGACCGGGGGAGAGAGAGAGCGAGTAAAAAGAAGCGGGAATTCCGCTATCGGAGCAAGCCTAGGGGGTCGGTAAGATCAAGAATTTTTGGCCCGAAAAATCAAGTTTTCGCGATTTAAGCCCAACTCACCATATTTTCAAGCTGGAGCATCAATTCCGTGTGCATACTATGCGTTGGACGGTGTGGGGCATGTAGAGAAATCTTGGTAATCTGGAAAAATGAGCATGAAAATCGATATTTTGGGCAAGAGGACACGAAAAATTGAAAACGTAAAAAGAAGACGATTCTTAGGCTCACGCTCATGCTCAAGCTCAAGGAGGAGGCGAAGGACAAGCATAAATCATAGAGAAAATCCGAATGGCAACTTTTCTCACCCAACCCAAAAATACCCAACCACCCCGCGAAGCTTCTCGACCTAGCTGCCCCGCACAGGAAATGAGCCAGCGCCCATCCGTTTCTGTTTTTATCGAACGCGACTGGCCAAGCCGGGGCGGCTATTCTCGGCCCGTCACATTGCAGCCCAAGTTTCAGGTCCAGTGAGGAAATCGCCCTCAACCCATCCTCCGGGGCTCAAAAACAGCAAATTGTAACATCCGGGAGGGCCTCCTCCGAGCCGTCCAATCAGCAACAAAAAGGGCGAATTTCCGGGGCGGACCGGGGGGTGAAGGGCAACTGTTCCGGAGGACGGGCTCGGAAAACGAAAACATGGCTACCCGAGGATGCACGTCGTCTCGGGGAGGCCGCCGCGAGAGCAAAAATCGGGCAACAAAGTGGACGGGCCGGGGGGAGGAGGAGGTGGTGGAGCAAGACAGGGCCAAGACAGAGAGAGAACGAGAGTGAGAGAGAGAGAGCCTAGACCCTTTTTCAAAGATCGGGCCTTGCTTGGAGCAAGGGGGGTCCAGAGGAACTTTTCCCAAAAATAGAGCACAAATGCTCAGAGATCCCGGAATATGGGAGAAGCCCTGCCCCGGGAAGCGGACCATTGAGGTTTTCCAGAGATCGTCCAGAGGAGCGGAACGGAAATTCGAGACGAAATTTTAGGCAACGCACGGGGGGTTGGGCTTTGGAACTTTGGAGGATTTTTGAAGAGCCGGCGCCTGAGTTTCGGAGTTTTTGAAACTTGTAAATACTTGAGCTTTGCTAAGATTTTTTTGAAAACACCAAAAACCCAAGGTTTGTATCGCAAAAAAAGTCTAAATTTGAGAAAATTTCAGGGTTTTAGCAACGCCTCAATGATCAGAATAATCACAGTCTTCAAAATTTGTTCGCTAGCT